AATTCGAACGTTGAGATTGGCCTACCACAATCCACACACGATGAAAAGGCTAACCATCATTTACTGATTTCACACAATCTCTTTTCTCAGGTAATTTTTCATGTTAATTAAAAATTACAGCTTTTGAGCATTAATAAAAAGCAAAAAAATTAAAGAATAATGCCAAAATAAAAGTTCCAATTTTTATTTTTTTTCCTTATTCAATACGTCCGTTGATATTCTGTAAAACAAGAGTGCATATATATATATATAAGCACTTGTCCCAATAAAGTAGCTGATTCACTTCTTTCTTGTTGTACATATGCGTCTCTCTGCCTCTGCTATATTAAATCTCATAAAGAGAAAAGGAAAGAAACGAAGAATAAAACTTTCTTTATTACGTAAAGACACAGTTTTTAGTGCCTCCATTTTCTTGAATAATCTATTAATACTATTGAGGGTTAATAAGTTAAATGGGGTTTTGTGGGAGTCTCTCTTTACAGCTCTGAGTGTAGTTAGTGGAGAAAAAAAGGGGGGGTTCTTGCTTTGTGGGTTTCCTTCGTTCTGTTGCACTTGGTTTCTTCTCTTCTGAACCTGAAAAGGAGGAAGCTTTGTAATTGTTTGCAGGAAAACTATTCAAGATTACCTTGGTTGTACTTCTTGAATTAAGGATTGTACCCTCTTTCATTCCAAGAAGCTGATAAAGCGGCCTGGGAAGCTTGTGCTGAGAAAACCATTCGTAGTGTAGTGAGTGATGTGGGGTTGTACTTCTTGAATAAATCTTTGTACCTTCTCATTCAAGAAATAATTTTTTTGTTGTTTGGTTAAAGAAAAGAGGAAATTAGTGCAGCCCAAATGGAGTGCAGGTGGGGAATTGGATTAGTGGTGTGTTTGGGAATATTTGTGGGCTGTAGTTTTGCACAGGAGAATGCAGATAATATAACTGCTGTGTATATTGTGACTCTGAAACAAGCCCCTACTTCTCATTACTATGGTGAGCTTAGAGTTAAGCATGATCACCATATTAAACACAGTGGGTCTGCATCAATGACTACATTGGCTAGACCAAGGTAATAATTATTATTCTTATTAATACCTTTAATTTTTGAATTTTTTGTTGGTTTTTTAATTGACTGTGTATTGTTTTTAAGACAGTGGTAGCAATTTAGCATAAGTATATGGTTTCAAGAAATTAGTTCTAACATCAATTGGTTCCTTGTTTTAGATATTCTTGTTTCGGCCTTTTATGTGTAAGTTGCCTTATTGTTTAGTCAATTGCTTTATTGTACACTGATGAGAACATTTGAATTGCTCGAAGTATTTAACAAAGGTTTTCCACAGTGCCATCTATGTTTCTTGCTAGTGTTCTTATTTGTTATCAGTTATGGTGGTTAATATATTCATTTTGCCGTAATCAGCAATGTATCAAGAAATAACCGGCCCCACGTACCATACATCGACCGCGTGCATAACTCTCTGTTAAAGAAAACGTTGAAAGGCGAAAAGTATCTTAAGCTCTACAGCTACCGCTATCTAATCAACGGCTTTGCAGTGCTCGTCACTCCACAGCAGGTTTTAGTCGACCCCCTAATATTTAATTCGTATCACTTTCTGTTGAGTAGAGGAGTGTAATAATGTACTTTTTTTCGATTTTGGGAAGGCTGACAAGCTTTCGAAGAGGAGTGAGGTGTCAAATGTTGTCATGGATTTCTCTGTCAGAACTGCCACTACTCATACACCACAATTTCTTGGTTTACCCGAAGGAGCGTGGGCCCAAGAAGGCGGATTCGAAACTGCAGGAGAAGGGATTGTTATTGGATTTATCGACACTGGAATTGATCCTACTCACCCTAGCTTCTCTGACAGCACACCTGAAAAACCGTACCCTGTTCCAGAGAAATTTTCTGGAATTTGTGAAGTCACACGAGATTTTCCGTCTGGATCGTGCAATAGAAAGCTTATCGGTGCTCGTCATTTTGCAGCTTCGGCTATTACCAGAGGGATATTTAATGCCACACAGGACTTTGCTTCGCCGTACGATGCTGATGGCCATGGAACGTAAGTTTGTTACATATAAAATCATTACCTACATGCATGCATGCATACATATACGATCATCATTTACGTGGTGTGTGATTTTTTTCTTTCTTACAGGCATACAGCTGCAATCGCAGCCGGAAACCATGGAATTGCAGTTGTAGTATCTGGACATCACTTTGGAAATGCCAGTGGAATGGCGCCTCGTTCGCAGTAAGGATTTTTAAACCTTTGTCTTAATTCCCTCTTTATTTGTATATTGAGTTATTTTGAAAAAAATCTACAATGGCTTTATAGTGTTGCGGTCTACAAGGCGTTATATAAGAGCTTCGGAGGGTTTGCTGCAGACGTGGTTGCTGCAATAGATCAGGTAAGTAAATCACACAAATTTGGATATCTCAAATTCCCTTTTCGTCGTAACTTGTAATTATTTCATTTGTCTTAAAACCATATTCGATCATTGTATTTTTATTTATTTTTTTATTTGGTATGTAGGCAGCACAGGATGGAGTCGATATAATAAGCTTGTCGATAACTCCAAACAGGCGTCCACCTGGCATTGCGACATTCTTTAATCCAATAGACATGGCTTTATTGTCTGCAGTCAAGTCCGGTATTTTTGTAGTGCAGGCAGCTGGAAATACCGGACCATCGCCTAAGAGCATCTCTTCGTTCAGCCCATGGATCTTCACTGTCGGTGCTGCAGCACACGATAGGGTGTACAGTAACTCCATAGTCCTCGGCAACAACGTCACCATTTCTGGTGTTGGACTTGCTCGTAAGTCCAATCTTATTTATAGTTGCATAACAAAAAAAAAAAAGATAATTAAATCTCCATTCGATTTTTTCTTTTTAATTTTCTTTTTTTTACAGCTGGAACGGATAAAGATGGTATGTATATGCTTGTTTCGGCTATCCATGCATTGAACGACACATCAGCAACGAATGACATGTACGTTAGTGAATGCCAAGATTCCGCCAATTTTAATCGGGATGTTGTCCAAGGGAATCTTTTGATATGCAGCTACTCTATCCGATTTGTGCTTGGACTCTCCACCATCAAACAGGCTTTAGACACCGCACAAAACCTCAGCGCAGCTGGGGTTGTTTTCTACATGGATCCTTACGTAATTGGTTTTCAGCTTAACCCGATTCCAATGAGAATTCCCGGCATTATAATTCCATCTCCGGAAGATTCCAAAGTAAGTAATCTACTAAATCCTTACTTTACCTTTTCAGTTGAAGTAATACTATTAACTTTTATTTTTTGTTGGTGCAGGTGTTGCTTCAGTACTACAATTCTACTTTAGTGAGAGACGAAGATACAAAGAAAATTATTAAATTCGGGGGCGCTGCGTGTATTTCTGGTGGAATAAAAGCGAATTTCAGCCACTCTGCACCAAAGGTTATGTATTACTCTGCTCGAGGACCAGATCCAGAAGACAATTTCCTAGACGATGCTGATATACTTAAACCAAATATTGTTGCACCTGGGAATTTCATATGGGCTGCTTGGAGCTCCCATGGTACCGATTCGGTGGAATTTCAAGGTATTTGTCGACATGTAGACATTGCAAATTAACCTTAAAACAAACACGACATATGAATTTAATACCATGTAAAATATTTGTAGGTGAGAACTTTGCAATGATGTCAGGAACGAGCATGGCAGCTCCACATATAGCTGGACTCGCAGCTTTAATTAAGCAAAAGTTTCCGTTTTTCACGCCTTCAGCTATTGGTTCAGCACTTTCGACTACAGCTTCTCTCAACGACAGAAATGGCGGGCCCATCATGGCACAACGTGCTTATGCTAACCCCGATTTGAACCAATCACCAGCCACTCCATTCGATATGGGGAGTGGGTTTGTTAATGCCACTGCAGCTTTAGATCCTGGCCTAATTTTCGATTCGAGTCAGTATCTCTTTTTTCTATATATATCCAAAGTTTTGAAATTTTCGATTCTAAGATAAATGATTTATACGTTGTTGCAGGTTATGATGACTACATGTCTTTCTTGTGTGGCATAAACGGATCATCTCCCGTAGTACTGAACTACACGGGGCAAAGCTGTGGGATTGCTAAAACGACTGCCAGTGACCTAAACTTGCCTTCGATCACAGTATCGAAGCTGAACCAGTCTTTGATTGTTCAAAGAATAGTGACTAATGTTGGAAGCAACGAAACGTACACGATTGGCTGGAGTGCTCCCTATGGAGCTACGGTGAGGGTGAGTCCTTCTCGATTTTCGATTGCAAGTGGAGAGAAACAGGTTTTGACTGTGTTGTTGAATGCCACCATGAATAGCTCAATTGCAAGCTATGGAAGAATTGGAGTGTTTGGCACACAGGGACACTTGGTCAACATTCCTCTGTCTGTCATTGTCAAAATTTCATTCAACAATACTGGTGGTTGATTTAATTTGTTGATACTGATTTTAGTTTAATTTATCTTGACGCATCTAATTTTTTGATTGGTTACTTTGTAAATTACCTGGAATACGGATAAGCCTTCGTTTCTTATCGTTTTCTTGAAATGTGTTCCTCTTTTGTAGCTCTGATTCTAATATATGATCAACATTACCTACATTTCCTGTTTTGATTAACTTAGTACAGAAATCTCTTCAATCATTCAATGAAATTTCAATAAAACTCTGGGCATATTCACAAATGGTTCACTCTCAAATAAAATAGTGTGAAATTCATATCAACACGAGGATGTAGATTTAAGATAAATTACAGATTATTGGAGCCAAATAATTGTAGTCGAAGCATTTTTCTGATTTATCGACAATGGTGGGAGACTATGTAAGATCATCTTCATCCAACGGGTCTTCTTGCAAATCTGATGTGTCCCTCTTCAATGCAGTGACATCCCCAGTAGGCAGTTTTCTTGCAAGCTTGATGATCTGAAAAACCTTTCTTTCAGTAATCCCTTCATTTATATTTTTATTTTTAAAAAATAAAAATATCGGACAATGCATGAGCAATTAATCACAATTTTAGTTCATTGAGCTGTTTTTGGACCTTAAATTTATGATCTCATATTTCTTTGAAAGTCCTTAGTGCATTAAATCATTAGCGATAATATTGTTGAGGGAAATGGATCAAGAGATTTACCACGTGATCAAGATTGGATATAGTACTCGACTGAGCTGCGCGCTTGATTTCCTCAACATCACCATCGGTGTATGCAGAGAGAAGTCTAGTAGCAGCACGATTTTGATCACTGTTTGCGAAAGCATCAACCCTGCCGAAGATGCCATCATCAAGAAGAAATACATGATGCATGTATAATCTATGCAAGCACAAAGGAAATAAAACAAAATGTCGGTAAAAAAGAGGGAACCAACTCACTGGCAACAATCATTGTGACATTTCTCTGCTTGCTGGAAGTCATGGGCATAAAGATACACGATGATTGCACTAAGATATGCCTGCATTCACACAAACAGGAATTCAGACTAAAATTGTATTTGTTAGAAAACACGTAATTCAAAACACTCTTCGGATGCAAACCCATTGGCCGAAGCATAACATCAAGAAGACGTGAGCTACTGATTTGCAAAATAATGCATGTCAATGTTTAAGATTGAAAAGAAAAGAGGTCGATCTTCTGAAATTCTGAAATTTGATAAAGGGAAAAAGTAGATATATGTGGAATATTTTCTGCACCTTGCACTGGCTATGTGCAGCACTGCACTTATCAGCTGCTAAGGCCCATCGGAGAAGAAGAGTTGCAGCATCAGTGTACCTGAGGCAGCCAACACCATAAAAGTCAATTCGATGATACCAGTACCCACCAAGAATAAGAAGCACCCCGGCCAATTTGATTACGATACACATGTATTTAGTTATGTGATATACAGCGCTAACAACTCAGAAATCCTAAATCATTCATAATCGGTCCCCTTAATCAAAATATCAAAGAAGGGACATAAGCTTACTTTTCAAGTTTTATATAGAGACTTGTAGCAGAACGATACAGATCAAAGGCCATTTGTTCCTTCCCGTCGTCTTCAAGAGCAGTACACGCATCATTATAAAGCCGGATAGCTTCATCAGGCGACGCATCTTCTAAAGCACTATAAGGGAAAATAAACATTTCTATCAGACCATTTGGATACGTTGTGAGCTTTTATAGTAAGATAATCAATCTAAAATAGTGTATAAGCTGATCCATTAATCTGTAAAAAAATTCAGAACCACATTTTCATAATTTACATGTTACTTGCAAAACCAACAAAGCAATTATTATTTACAATAAAGCATCTATCTACAAGAAAATCCTGAAAATGTATTGACATTAACGTTAAAAAACAAGAGATCGGTTCTTACCGAGCACCCTTTGCAAGGGCATCCGATGCAGGTTGAGACCTCCCGCACTCAATGTACAACTCAGACGAACGTCTATAGAGATCAGACACTTGATTCCAATTGCCCACTTCCTTCGCCAGTGCTGCAGCAGATTCCATATGTTTTGCAGCATCCCACGGCCTGATTCACTCATCAATATAGCTTTAATTGTTCAAGTACACAGAAGGTGATCATATCCATTTAGCTAACTATATCGGGAATCGATAGCGAATTCAAATAAAACGCTTACGATGAGAGCATCTCCTGTCCTTTTGAAGCCATTTCAAATGCCTCCTTTGCTTTCTCATACTTTTTGGCAAGTCTATATGCAATCGCTGCCATAGCAGAACTAAATTCCATCAGATTTTTTTTTTTAATTTATTTATAAAGAATTAAAAATTACTTCAAATATGACGCTTAAGCAACTTTTCTGTAACACAAATTGAAGATGATAAAAATGAGGGAGTAACCGTACCGGCCTGCTCATACAAACCGGTGGCGTTCCTCCAATCAGCATTCCATCTCGTCAAACTGAGTTTTGTCCTGCAGAATTAAACATACATGTTTTTTGTAAGAATTAATTCATGAATTAAGAAATGGTGAATCAAAAATAAAAGGACGGAAGGAGGGGAAGAAACCCACAGTTTATCAGCTTTGGCGATCAATTTGTCGGGATCGGAATTAGCCATTGCCGATCCAAGTACGGAGTCGGCTACGGGTCAAACTCTTTTGGGTTTATTCTTCTTAATGCTTTTCGGATCTCTTTCTTCTTTTCCTTTCGGATCTGGTTTCTGTCCAGTTGTATTGCCTCCAGTTTTTGCCAATTTCACCTAAAGTCGCCTTCCCATTGAATAATGACTTGCTGATAACACCTGTAATTTGACAAAATTGCATCAATGATCCCCTATTAAGAAAATGAATTGTAGAGGTATAAATTAATTAATCTGAGGCTGAAAAATTCTATTAATTAATTTATTTAATAATTATCAATAATAATAATCATTATAGTATTTTTTTAATTCTTTTTTGTTTTAATGATTATAAATTGATTAATTTATCAAAATATTATTATTTGATCATTACATTTTTCGATTTATTAGGCATATACTGGCCCAAATAACCCAATAATCCTATTAGGAAAGAGGCCCGAAGTTTGGGTCCAACTCATGTGGCCCAATCCTTAAATTCAGAATCTACAAAAACTCGTGACAGAAGAATCTTTTTTTAATTTTTTTGTCATTTATTTTATTTTATTTAGAGCCACAAAATTATCGTGTGATTAAAAAAGAAAAGGTGGGGGGATAGAAAGGAACAAATCACGAAAAAAAGGAAAGAAAAGAGGGGAAAAATAAAACCCAGCCACATTTGGAACTATCCAATTAATTGAATTAATTATTATCCAAAAACTATGAGTTTAATATTTATGTATTACATTTTAAATATAATAAGAAAAAAAAAAATATCTATTGTAAACTTAAGTAGCAAAAGTATAGTCAGTGATTATATAATATATAATAAGTAGCAAAAGTATGGTCAGTGATTATATAATATATAATACTAGATGAACTATGAGAAGAAGCAGATCAGAAGCAAGAGAAGTCAACATAGATTAGATGAATAAAAGAAGCAGGACTCGTTGTAGTTGCTTTCTGCTGCTTGTTTTTTTCTTCGGTTTATTGGATCCGCCATTAATTTCTTCTTCCTCAGAAGCAGAATCAATAATCGGCCGTGGCTACAGCCTCCGATCAGTCACCGCCGGAAAATCTTTGACCGCTCATCTACAGCTCATCAATGGTTCCTCTGTTTTCGGACCTGACGTTCAACTCCTCTCCCTCACCGCCAGGTAATATTATCAAAACCAACACTACTTTCTGATTCTAATAATAGTTAACGACACAGTGCCCAAAAACTAACGGCGTTCATATTTCCTGCAATATTTCAGCTTCGAAACAAAAGACCGTCTGAGAATCACAATAACCGACGCCAACAAACCCCGTTGGGAAATTCCAAACAACATTCTCCCCCGCCAAAATCATGAGAAGAACCACCACCACCACCCACCACCCCTTCACCACCGCTCTCCGCCGCTCCTCTCCCACCCCAGCTCAGATTTCATCTTCACCCTCCAAAACACCACCCCTTTCGGCTTCACTGTCAGCCGCCGCTCCTCCGGTGACACCCTCTTCAATACCACCCCGTCCCACAACACACCCTCCACATATCTCATCTTCAAAGACCAATACCTCCAGCTCACCTCTTCTCTGCCGCCTCACACCTCAAATCTTTACGGCATCGGAGAGCACACAAAGGGTTCTTTCAGGCTGCAGCCTAATCAGACACTTACCCTTTGGAATGCCGACATTGCTAGTGCCAACACCGATGTCAATTTGTACGGGTCCCACCCTTTTTATATGGATATCAGGTCTCCGAAGGGCAAAACTCATGGAGTATTGCTGCTCAACAGTAACGGAATGGATGTTGTATATACCGGTGATAGGATTGCCTACAAGGTGATCGGTGGAGTGCTCGACCTGTATTTCTTTGCCGGGCCAACTCCAGAAATGGTTATCGAACAGTATACTGACCTCATTGGACGCCCTGCCCCGATGCCTTACTGGTCTTTCGGTAAGCACAACTAGTTAACGTATTGGAACACCAAAAAGTGCGGTACTTATTACTTGCCGGTTTTTGTTATTTGTAGGGTTTCATCAGTGTCGCTACGGTTACGAAGATGTCTATGATCTTGAGAATGTGGTTGCTGGTTATGCAAAAGCTAAGATTCCTCTAGAAGTTATGTGGACGGATATTGATTACATGGACGGTTACAAAGATTTCACTCTTGATCCCATTAATTTTCCAGCTGATAAGATGAAGAAATTTGTGGATCAACTTCACAAGAATGGTCAGAAGTACGTGGTTATCGTAGATCCTGGTAAGCTCTAAATGATCTTCCGATATATTAATGCATCGCACACTGATTTTTTTATTTTTTATTTATTTTCTAAATAAACTGCAGGCATCAGTGTGAACGAGACATATCCTACATACGTAAGAGGGATGAAAGCTGAAATCTTTATAAAACGTGATGGTGTTCCTTACCTCGGTAAAGTTTGGCCTGGATTAACTTACTTCCCCGACTTTCTGAACCCGTCCAGCGAATCCTTTTGGAGCAATGAGATAAGAATATTCCTCGACCTTCTCCCAGTTGATGGGATCTGGATTGACATGAACGAGCTGTCAAATTTCATTTCCTCGCCTGCAAATCCATCTTCTACAATAGACGATCCTCCCTATAAGATAAACAACTCGGGTTATCAGCGTCCAATCAATGAGAAAACTGTTGCAGCAACATCACTGCATTTCGGAAATGTCACAGAGTACAACATTCACAATCTCTACGGATTTTTGGAATCGAGAGCTACTAATGCTGCTTTAGCTAATGTAACTGGAAAAAGGCCATTTGTGCTGAGTAGGTCTACTTTTGTGGGTTCTGGCAAATACACTGCACACTGGACTGGTGATAATGCTGCAACATGGAGTGACTTGGCTTACACAATCCCAAGCATCTTAAATTTTGGACTGTTTGGTATTCCGATGGTTGGAGCCGATATATGCGGTTTTTCAGGAAACACAACCGAAGAACTTTGTAGGCGATGGATTCAGGTATATGAGTATATATGCATATATATAAAGTTTTTGCCACAAAAAATGGTTGAAATAGAATATAGTTATCCAGACTTACCTTAATTTGATGCTAAGAAACTTGTTTTGTAGTTAGGAGCATTTTATCCCTTTGCTAGAGACCACTCTTCGATCGGAACCAGTCGTCAAGAACTGTACATCTGGAAGTCAGTTGCGGCAACAGCTAGGAAAGTGTTGGGATTTCGTTACAGGCTATTACCGTACTTTTACACGTTAATGTACGAGGCGCACTCTAAAGGCATACCTATTGCACGACCTATTTTCTTCTCATTTCCCGACGATACAAAGACTTACGAAATCAGCTCCCAGTTTCTTCTTGGCAAGGGAGTGATGGTTTCGCCTGTACTGGTGTCTGGTGCAGTTTCTGTTGATGCATATTTCCCAGCAGGAAACTGGTTCGACCTCTTCGACTACTCACACTCACTGACTTTAGAAAAGGGGGAATACGTAAAGCTCGATGCGCCTCCTGATCACATCAACGTGCATGTTCGTGAAGGAAATATATTAGGTATGCAAGGAGAAGCAATGACAACACAAGAAGCACGAAACACACCTTTCGAATTGTTGGTAGTAATGAGCAGCCACGGGAATAGCTCAGGAGAAATCTTCATGGATAATGGAGAGGATGTAGAAATTGCAGGCAAGGGAGGAAGGTGGAGTATCGTAAGATTTACCAGTGGTTTCGTCAGAAATAAACTGATTCTTGAATCTGAGGTTATAAACGAAGAATTTGCTGTGAGTCAGAACTGGATCATTGGTAAGGTGACGTTTCTTGGATTGACGAGGGATTTCAAAAGGATTAAAGGATGTGGATTAAGTACTCGAGCAGGGATGGACAACGGAATGGCTATAAAAGTTGAAGAAAACCACAATGGATTTGTTACTTTGGAAGTGTCGAAACTGTCGATGCTTATAGGGAAAGAGTTCAAGATGGAGATTGTACCTGACAAGCAAATTAGAGCAGTGTATAATGGGGTAACGCAAATATGATTTCGGCAGATAATTAATTACGTTTGGACAATATAGTCAAATCTGTCGTTCAAAAAAACTTGCTGCTTTTCTTCCGTTTTCTAGGAAATAAAATTTCAAAATGTTGAAATATATCAGCCTCCTTTTAAGGATGTTCCAGTGCCGTTAAGTCCAGTGATCAATCGACCAGATAAAGCTCACACTCACAATTGAAAATAATTTATTTACTGATCTCTTTGTATGTATAGTTAATGAAATTAACTGGAAATCCAAAGTTCCCACAGAATTAATCACGTTGAAAGCAACTGTTTCAACAAAAACAAAGTAAAAACGCAAGGGGTAAAAAGGAAAGGAGAAAAGAAAGAAGTATCTCCATATCTAGATGTTGACATCCATTATTTCATAATTATCACATTTGAAGAGTGACACTATACGGCAAAAGGAAGGCAAGACAACCTTTACACGCAGTGATTTCTACACAGTTCTTTTATATAGAAGGCATTAAAAGAAGATAAGATAGATAATTTTCCCATTCTAATAATTTATAAAAGAATTCTAATCCAATTCGAAGCTCATCAATCACATCTTTTACTTAAATGTAAATTATCTTGAGTCCATGTAATATGAAAAAGGACGAAGAAAATGGTTAATCCCGCCTCAATCAAATTATCAAATTATTTGCTTAACGTGCACGGTATATCTATCTTCCCACTCCCTTAAAACTTCAATTCTCTTTAGTTGAGAAAAAAACATTAAAGAGAGAAAGAAAAGGAAAAACAAAAAAGATGAACTCAGGAGCAGTTATTATACTTACAATTCTTTATATGCATGGAGTCGCAGAACTAAAAGCGGAAACGCTCATAGAAAGCACGTGCAGGAACACCCCAAACTATCAACTCTGCATCTCCATCCTACGTGCCAGTCCACACAGCGGCACTGCTGACATGGCGGGGCTCGGCCTGATACTGGTGGACGCCATCAAAGCCAAAACGGAAGCAGCACTATTAGCAATCGACGAGGTGAAACAGCTCCACCCAGAACTGACGCAAGCCCTGGAGGAATGCAGGCGCACATATAACGCCGTTCTGAAGGCCGATATCCCGGAAGCCGTTGCGGGGCTGAAGAAAGGAGTCCCTAAATTTGCGGAATCTGGGATGGTAGATACGGCTTGGGAGGCTGATATATGCGAGGGCAGTTTCGGAAGTGTTGCTCAGCCGCCGTTGAGTGGAGTAAATAAAGATCTCCATGACCTTGCCGAGGTTGCTGCTTCTGTTATTAGAAATTTGCTTTGAAGGTGTTAAATTTCAATATATACAGATGTATGAATAATATATATAAATTACCCAGAGACAAATATAACACCTTCCAATATCAGTTAAACGCATCAATTATCAAACTAACACATTACAGAACAAACAAAAACGATGAAGACCAGGCATTTGTTGCGTTTCACGAGATGGCCGCCATTGATTTAAGAGATGGAGAAAAAAATTGACAAATGAATGACCGTAACAGAGTAAAACATATCATTTTCAAATTTCAACTCTTTGAACCAATCAGGTCATTATACTTACAATTCTGAAATTATACTTACAATTCGCCGTTGTGTTGCTGCTTCTTTGATTAGAAATTTGCAGAAATTCAGAAAACAGAATTCGAAAAATAAAATAGGGCTCCGCTGCTTTTGCGGTTTTTAATTTTAATATTTATTTAAAAAATAAAATAAATGGTTAAAGCGCGTGAGGGAGATTATTATATAAAGTACGAGAAGTATTATTTAATTGAAAGTCTTCTCCGTTGGAGACATTCTCTCTAGAAAAGTCAAGCTTTTCGTAATTATTCAACGGAGAAGAACAATATTCAATCTAATCTTATTAACCCAATCCCACAAGATCCATTTTTTCTTTTCCTTTGTTCATTATTGTTCATAAAGTAAAATCTTATCCGACTCTACCAACCCTAATCTCGAATTCCACTGTTGCTGTTCATCACTTTTCTCGTCGGTAAGATTTCTCGTCTGCAGGAACATAATCGTGTTTTTTGATTTATCATTTCTTCGTTGAATTTTTCCTTTTGAATCTACGATTTTTGGATATTCCTATGCGAGATCTCGTCTTTTTACCTCTTGGAGATTGTGATTTTTTTTTTTTTTTTAATAATTGTTCGCGTATTCTGGATCGATTAGGTGTCGGAGTTGTTTTCCGCTCACAAGAATTTTTCCTTCAATTTATTCATTGCCTGCAAATATTGCTATTTGATAAATGTTATAGCTAAAATATCCCTGTTTTCTGATTTATTTTGCTAGAATTTTGAAAATTTCAAGCATATTCAACACTTACAGAGATGGTTATGAAGTTTCTGCATCTATGTTTTAACTTTTGGTTTTCATCCTCAAATTTGGTTCCTCAGATATGCAGAGCCAAATAGTTTGCGGTGGGTGTAGGACTGTCCTTAGTTACCCTAGAGGAGCTACTAACGTTTGCTGCGCATTATGCAATGTCGTCACTGCTGTTCCCCCAGCTGGTAATTCTCGAAACTCGTTTTTATACAATTTATTTTATTTTTATGCAAATTTATTCTCATGAAATATTATGATTTGGCTTCCCAACCTACGGGCAATTTTGATCATTAGCATTATATACTCAATTGGGGGATTTGGTGCTGTATTTTGTCTTGATATGCACCTCTCATGATTCGCTTGCTACTTTTGTTCAATCAATTATTGCTCAGTAATATACAAGTTGAATGCATTATCCCGTGTTCGTTTATTGTGAGAGTAAAGAAAGGAATTTCTGTGTGCTACCTCCTTTTGTCGAGTTTGTTGTGAATAAAGTAAAATTGTTTTGCTATCTGCAGGGATGGAAATGGCTCAATTGATATGTGGAGGTTGCCACACGTTACTTATGCATGCCAGGGGGGCTACAACTGTCAGATGCTCGTGCTGCCACACAGTGAACCGTGTGCCAGATATTAGATGTGATGAATCATAGTCGAGCTTTAATTTTATAAAACGCCAATTGTTTTATAGTTTTCCCATTATTTTGCAATTTTATCTGATTATTGTTCGCTGACGGAATTGCAGCAGCAGCAACACCACCACCACCACCACCTAATAATGTTGCTCATGTCAACTGTGGAAACTGTCATACAATGCTAATGTACCCGGCTGGATCTCCGTCAGTTAAATGTGCAATTTGCCACTTTATTACCGCTGTCAATGTTAGTATTTTTTAGGTTTTTACTTATTTGGTGGTTCTCTTACGAAAGAAAAAAATCCAGGAAAAATATATTTATTTTTGTAGCATTCCTAACATGTTGCTGCTTATGCAGACCGGCGATGCAAGGATTCCTATTCCCGCACGTAGACCTGCATCAACATCAACCTCCACGGTTAGTCGGTTTTCTTCTATGTACTTTGCCTCGGTTACGAAACTATTATTTACCGTTCAGCCATTCAACAATGGATTTTGACTTTGTTATTTTCTGAAGGCAACGGCCCATTCTCAGAGTCAAACAGTTGTCGTTCAGAATCCCATGACTGTTGACGAAAGTGGCAAATTGGTGAGTTTCTATTTATTATTTTCCAATTTCCTCGTTAACTTGCTGTGCCTTACGTACGAAATACTAATATGGATTTGATTTTAAAATTACTACAGGTGAGCAACGTTGTTGTTGGTGTTACAACCTAAGGATGCAAACGAAACAGGGCATCTTCCGTAAGCGAATCTTGATATTCTGGTGTAAATGTCTATTTTGGATCTTTGTCGTCTTCCGGGGTATAGAGATATCTTGTGCATACTGTGGCTATATTATGAATATGCATTTTTAGAATTATTATTATTATTATTTGTAAAATACCAGACGAAACTGGGGGTTTTTTTTTTCTTCGTGTTTTATGGGTCGACATGTGGAAAGTTTTTACCTTTTGCACTTTGAACTACCATTGTTATGCTACTGAAGATTGTATTTAGTATTGTATTCATAACACTTGATGGATTGACCCTATAAGATTTGTTTAAAGATGAAGTCTCTTTCACTATGCGTTTCGGTTGTATTCGTTTACCTTGCACAAGTCAAATAAACGCTCACCTAAACGCATCTACATTTATAAGTGTTGCACACTTCATTTCCAGATAATTTTCCCAACAACTAAAGCAATTAGACCACCAAAAGTGAATCAGTTAAACAAACTAAGAACAGTTGATTTGTTTCATTATATATATACACATACATACACGATAACTTTTCACACACCACCACCATTGCCATGGCTTTAGGAGGAGGAGAAACACTAGAAGCTGGCGGTGATCGGGCGGCACGGGTGATGAGTAGTAGTAGCTCGAAGGTGGATTTGGTGATGGTGTTGCTAAGGGTGCTGGCGTTATTAGCAACGGTTTCAGCAGCTTTGATAATGGGGTTCAACAAGCAAACGAGGACCATAGTAGTGGCCACGATCGGAACTACGACTGTACAAGCTACTCTCACTGCCAAGTTTCAGCACACCCCTGCATTTGTGTAATTTCTATATAAATTTCGATACTCGTAAATAACTTGTTGATTGTGGATTAATAATCATTAATATATACAATAAAATGCAGGTTTTTTGTGATAGCTAATGGGATTGCTAGCCTCCACAATTTGCTGATGCTGGTGGTTAGTTTTATAGGCCCACCGAAGCTGTTCGAGCGAATTGCTCCCTCTGCAATTCCAGTCTTCGACTTGGTATTATTTTTTATTTATTTTTTTATATAAATATTTGACATTTTTTTTAAAAATGTATTAATTGCAAAAAAAAAAAAAACGCGTGGATTGGTAGATGAACGTGGCAATTGTTTCGGGTGGGGCAAGTGCGGCGGCGTTCATGGGGCAGCTAGGAAGAGACGGGAACTCACACGCCAGGTGGAACAAAATATGCGACAAAATCGACAGCTTCTGCGACCGTGGAGGTGGGGCCATGATTGCTTCCTTCATCGGACTTGTGCTAATCATCATCATATGTTCACTCTCTATTATCAGGCTTCGCCGCTATAATACTATATAGTATATACCAACAATTACTTGTCATCAAATGTTTGATTTTATTTTTAGTTTATTTTTATTTTATTTTATTATTTATATATATGTACCCGACGCGTGCAGTACCATACTAGTTTATTGAAGCAAAAGGCGCGTGACTGCATCATGATTTACGAGCGTATAAATTGATTATTAAAAGATTTATTCCTATATATAAATGAAATTGTATCATATGTTATCACCGCATTAAAAGATGAATATCACCCGCATTTAATCGTAATAATCACCTTCCTTAATTACTTTAGGTAGGATTAAACACACCTTCACTAGGTCGAATGCTTAATTAAAATTAAAATTACATATTAATCACACCTTCACTAGGTCGAATGCTTAATGAAAATTAAAATTACATATTAATCAGTTTTCAATTTCATGCAATATCTCATCATCATTGTAATTTGTACAAAAAAAAAGGGGTTTATCTTTATTTAAAAAAAAAAAAAAAATAGAAACAAAGAGACAAATAGCAATGATTAGAGAATCAAGATTTGTTTGAATGATGTGTCTTTTTGCTCATTAGATTTGTACTTTGTTTGCCAAAGAAGCAAAATAGTAGACAACATTGTGACAAACACTGACACAACCCCCTATATATATCTATTTATTTTCCCCATTAATTTAATTTAATTTAATTTGATTTAAATACCCGAAACCGTCCTTTTCAATCTGATTCTCATTGGTTTCTTGATGGGGTGTGGGGGTGGGCACCCCCCGTATTTTTCTCTTACAGATCCAACTTCCTCGTCTGAGGAGACTTCCTATCGTAATAAAACCACTGTTTCACAAATAAATAAATATTTTTTTTATTTTATTTTTTATTTTGAGAAAAAAAAAAAAAAAACACCAAGGAAGAGAGAGTCCAACGTGGAAATTGTGTGTAGCTGTCTATATACTTGTCAGCATCAAACAAGTTATTATTATTATTCCATCTAAAAAGAAAAAAGAACCAGTCTTTCCATATATTTCTTTTCTTCCACAAATTCAAGAATCAATTTTTATTTTTCTTTTTTCTGTATTGATATTCGTATAAGGTTTTCTTTCTTCTTACTGAGTCAAAACACATTTTTATTAACCACCTTCGCACCAGGTTTTGATTTCTGCAACCCTTTTTTCTCTGTTTTGCTACAGTTAATGAAAATTTCTCATTCTCTGATTTTCCTGCAAATTGTCTTAACTCTTACCTTTATCTGTTCTCACTTATTATTTTCTTCAATTCATATGATTTTTTGCTGTTTCAATTTTAATTATCCTTTCTGAATTTAGGAATCGTGTTCAAAAAGTTTTTAGGTTTCAATTAGTAGTTAGGTCTAGCAATTGGCATTGATTTCTTCATGCACAAAAGAATTTATCTCCTTGATTGTTCTCTCATTAATCCTTAAAAAAAATCATAGGAGAGATTCATTCGATTAGATTTTCGAAGATAACGAGGTTAGGTTTCTATGATTATTGTATGATTGTATCTCTCAACTAGTTTTTGTTCTGCCCTAGGTTTTTAATTTCTATATCTGCAGATCTCATAATCTGATTTTTATTTTTTTATTATCATTATTCGATTGCTTGCTCCCATGGTTGATTACTCTGTTGTATGTGCTGTGATATAAACTGCAAAAAAAAAATGTTTTTTATTTTTATTTTTAATCCAACGTAGTTTTTAATCTCCGAAATTGCCAAATATCGATGTTTTTTTGCTATTAGGTTTTGTTTTTTTCGATGTCTTTGCTATGATATTTGTATATCATCAATCAATTTGATAGCAACTAGGTTCAATGTGTTAGATACAAGGGGGAAAAAGGGATTTTTATTTAAACAATTAAAGTTTCTTATTTAATCTTTCTATGAATTCTTGATTATGTACTGAGGTTTTAACCGTGAGTTTCTTATGCTTTTCAGTTTTCTCGTCTGTTCAAGCTGTCGAGACGAATTTAACCAGCTGTCAACAACAAATTGCCCGATATATATGCTTTCTTTTACCACCGAATAGTCATGAGAGTGAAGGTTTGAATCTTTAATTGAAAAATAAGATCTTGATACATTGTTACATGAATTGAGTATTTATAACAATTTTATTTGCAGGACAATCCTTCTAGAAATTCCCATAAAAACGAAGATAGCCACGACTGTCCGGGCAGTCCCCGACATCGTAAGGTACAAGATCATCTAATAATATTATATTTATATTTCTTCGAGCTGTAATAATTTCTAAATTGTAGCTAATAAATTACTCTTTTATCTTCCCCTATTCGTTGCATACAGGTGTCGGCGAGATGGGTTCGTGATGAAGCATGCAGGCCCCTTGTAGATGAAGCACCAGTCTTCTATCCAACAGCCGAGGTATCTTATATTATTCCAACGGCATATTCCTTTTTCCAGCACGTAAAGAAACTAAAATTCCGATCATATGAATTAATGAAAAAAAGAAAAAATCTCTACTGTAGGAGTTCCGAGACACACTTGGTTATATAGCAAGCATACGCCCTATAGCCGAGGCTTACGGTATTTGCAGAATCGTACCTCCTCCTTCGTGGACCCCACCATGCCCACTAAAAGACGAAAAGATATGGGGGCACACTAGATTTTCAACACGTGTCCAGCAAGTAGACCTCCTCCAGAACAGAGAGCCCATGAGAAAGAAATTGCACCGCAAGAGGAAACGAAGGAAGCAGTATTTCTCCAGACCGAGGAGGCGGACCCGGCCCGAAACGGAATCTAACGGTGCTTGTGGTGGTGACAAAGAGGACAAGTTTGGTTTTCAGTCCGGTTCCGATTTTACCCTCCAAGAATTTCAGAGATTTGCAGAGGAGTTTAAAGAATTGTACTTTGGTGTGAAGGACAAAAATCCGGAAGATAAAAAGTGGCTGCCCTCGGTTGATGATATCGAAGGAGAGTATTGGCGGATTATCGAACAGCCTACAGACGAAGTTGAGGTGAGAAGTTAAAACATGACATCTTAATATTTATGCAAATTTTGTTTTATTTTTTATTTTTCTTGTTTTTTGTATGTTATATAGGTATACTATGGAGCTGATTTGGAAACCGGAATGCTAGGGAGTGGATTCCCTAAAGAACCCTCATTATCAAAAGACTCGAAAGTAAACGAATACGTAAATTCGGGATGGAATTTGAATAATTTATCTCGTCTTTCGGGTTCCGTTTTGAGTTTCGAAGAGTGCAACATCTCAGGGGTGCTTGTGCCGTGGCTTTACATAGGCATGTGCTTCTCGTCGTTTTGTTGGGTATGATTATATTATATTAATCTCAACTATTCATTTATTATATAAATTTTAAGTTGTTATTTGTTATTTGTTATGGTTAAATTCGAATATCGTGTTTGTAAAAAAAGCATGTTGAAGACCACCATCTCTACTCATTGAACTATCTGCACTGGGGAGATTCAAAAGTTTGGTACGGAGTACCTGGAATTCACGCCTCTTCGTTAGAGAAGGCAATGAAGAAACACTTGCCAGATTTATTTGAAGAACAACCCGATTTATTAAACGAATTGGTAAGTCTATAAAATAAAAATTAACACGTAATAAACTACACTCGCTTTTATTATTTGAAAAAATATAAAGGTTATAACTTGGGATTGTGTCCAACAGGTCACGCAGCTGTCACCTTCGGTTGTGAAGTCAGAAGGTGTACCGGTTTATCGAGCAGTACAGAATTCGGGGGAGTTTGTTATTACATTCCCAAAGGCTTATCACTCTGGATTCAACTGTGGTTTTAACTGTGCCGAGGCGGTCAATGTGGCGCCTGTTGATTGGCTACAGCACGGACAAAGTGCGGTCGAGCTCTACAGTATGCAGTGTCACAAGACTTCAATATCGCACGATAAGTTGCTTTTCGCTGCTGCTGACGTGGCGGTCCGTTCACTTTGGGAGATCTCCGTTCTCAAGAAAGAAAATCAAGATAATTTGAGATGGAAAAGCGTCTGCGGGAAAGATGGGAAGCTTACTCAAGCAATTAAGGTAAAGTTTATATATATATATTTTTTAATGTGTATAAGATCTATATGATAAATACGTTAACATGGTTTTTTTTTTTTTAATTACAGACGAGGGTTTATTATGAGGAGAAAAGAATAGAGCATTTACCAGCAGTGACGCGTATTCAGAAGATGGAAAAAGATTTCGATCTTGATACAGAGAGGGAATGCTTTTCTTGCTTTTACGACTTGCATCAATCTGCAGTATGCTGCAATTGTAACTCGGATAAATTTGCATGCCTTAAACATGCGAATCTCATGTGTTCCTGCAAACCAGACAACAGGGTTGTGCTTCTTCGGTACACCATTGACGAGTTGAACTCATTGGTTAAAGCATTGGAGGAATCTTTTGATGCTCTACAAGTATGGCTATCCAAAAATCATAGTAATCCTCAATTGAAAAACGAATACGTAGAAGAGATCAGGACTAGCTTTTCTGTTGAACCCGTAAATTTTGGATCTGTTGTTTACGGAAAGTTGTGGTGCAACAAGGATGCTATATTCCCTAAAGGTATGTATATGTACACTTATTTTAATACTTTTGAATCATCATCATCGTTTCTTCAAATCATTGATTTAATCATATTGAATCCGCACTTTGACAGGATATAAAAGTCGCGTAAAGTTCTGGAATATTAGCAACCCTCAAATAGAGAGTAGCTACACATCAGAAATAGTGGATGGTGGGCTTTTAGGACCCTTGTTTAAGGTTAGTCTTGAAGAAAATCCAGACGAGAGCTTTGTGAACGCTTCAGCCAACGAATGCTGGGCAATGGTGCTGCAGAGAATTAACGAGCAAATAACAATACAAAGATGTTCGGTGAAGCCTTTGAATAGCATAAACGGGCTTCAAATGTTCGGTTTTCTCTCTCCCTCCATTGTTAAGGTATTATACCTCACTTCTCCACCCATTTTTTTAAAAACTATTATTGTTCACAAATGCTGTAACTATTGAATATATTCAGGCAATCGAGGCTTTGGATCCACATCACAAATGCACGGAATATTGGAAAAACAAGCTCCCCGTTGTGAAGAAGTCGTCGTCAAATTCGGGTGATAATTTATTAGTAGGTGAAAAGAAATCTTGGGCAACGGGTTCCGATGAAGGGGAGATAGCAGATAGTTTTGAAGCAGCAGATGAGTTATTAATAGTAGAAAACGGCAATTCTTTATCGGATGAAGAGATACAGACTGTGTTCAGAAGAATGCTGAAGAAAGCTAATTTGGAGGAGATGGAAGTAGTCAATAGAATATTGTGCAGAGGGTCAACGAGCCCTTTGTGGAGAGTAGCTGTTGAAACACTGACAGAGGAGATCAAACGAACACAAAAATGACGTATCGACTATTCTTTTTTACAGACAGTTTAGGTACCGAATTATCGGCATTCTTTTACGACATTTTGGCATAAAGATGGGAGTTTCACAATCCTGATCATAATAGATGTTAGTTTTCTCCAAAAGATAGTTTGTACAAATTTTCTTGATTTTCTTGATCCTAACTGTAGAGTGAAATTCTATCACAGAAACCATCTGATTTGTTGCATGTTCTTGAAACTGAATTAATAACAAAATGCCAACAATCAAACAAAACAAGATGCAGGGAAACACTAATTACGAATTTCAGCAGCAACAATTGGAAAATCGAACAAAACCCTAATTACAAATTTCAATCGATAACCTTTCGTACCATTGAATATTACTCCAGACAGTGTAAATTTTTCAATGAATCTTCTTGATTGCAAGAACAGCAGCACAGAGAGTCAAAATCCAGCTGAACGAACACGATGCATCAGATCTCAGGCCGACGGTGATATCTTCCGGAAAAATGGGATCTTTCTTCTTAGGATCTTCCGGCGGCGGGGGAAGGATACTATTTCCAGCGTAGAGAGTGTAATCGAGAACTTTCTGGATGCCATGGACAGAGAAAGCAGCATTGACGAAGACATCGGCTTGTACGATTTGGGAGTCGTCGACGGTGAAATTGGTGGGGGAGTTGTTGGTGATGATGATGTATTTGTCTGGAAGGAGAGTTGGGAGGCGCGTGTGGGTACCGAACTGTTGGAGATCGGAGAAAGTGAGGCGGTGTGGGACTATGTGGTAGGCCATGAGAAAAGGGTTTAATCTCATTCCGGTGATGGTGTTGGCGGTGGAGAGGGGGGAGGAGGGGATGCCGTCGTGACTGGGGATGAAGATGGTGGCGGTGAGTGGGAGGGATGAAGAGTCGGTGGAGGAAATCAGGTTTGTCCAGCCGGCGAAGTCGCCGGCGCTAATCAGAGCATCGAAGATGTTGTCGAGCTGATTTTGTGGAATCTCCGCCGGTGTTGCCGGCGACGGCGGAGTATGTGCGGTGGAGACTGGTGGTGGTGTTGTGGGCAGAGACGGTGGTTGGGGTGGCGGGCTGGTTTCTGTGGCGGAGGTAGTGGCGGTGGTCAAGAGTGCCACGAGGAGTAGGCTGAGGGAGAAGGAAATCGCCATGGAAATGGAGTTGCAGAGAAAAAGTAGCAGTTATTTGTTATACTTCAATCAATCAAAAAATATATATATATATATATATATAACAGAGGGGTTTTTCTTGGGCTGCCTCTAACCAACTTCTAACAAACAATTCCCGCCAAAAATATTGATGCCATTTTCAAGAAATTGAAATTTGCAGTCTGGTAGGAATAGTAAATTGTATTGGCTATTTAATTAATAAAAATAAAATAAAAAATAAAAAAAAAAAGTGAAACAGTGTTACAGAGCAAATCCAATTCTTAATTCACTCCAGACTAGCCATTTGAGTGAACTGTATAAATAAATGTTTGTTCTTTTGTAAATTGCCGATGTGGTACGATGGGCTCTTGGGACAAAAAAGAATTAAGTGTCTGTCAGACAGCTGCTCGACCACCCCGATCAGCGGGAGCTGACCGAGAACGATCATCTACCGAGTCGACTGGGCGAGCCAGTGAGTTCGGTTAATCACGCTCTGGTCGAGCGGCCATGGGTCATCAACCAAACATGGTTTCCTGTCTCCTTAGAAATCAAGGATACAGAGGTACGAGCCTATAGAACAGATCCTGTTCAAGTAAGGTCGTGCCCATCATTGCTCACTCACCTCTATATATACATGTTGGTTTTGTTCTATTCTTCGATGTGGGACAGATTCTTTTGAAAATTAGATAGCTCCCCTTTTCATCTTTTTTTCACCTTAGCAATCCAATTTTGAAAGCTTTCAAATTCTTATTTAAAACCATTATTTATCATAGAAATTCAGCTTTATCATTTTGGTCATGACCTGTTACTCAGATTACTTGAACAAAGTCTTCATTTGATCGAATACAATCCCACTGGCAACTAGCCATAAACTTTTTTTCATTTTGTAACATAATGACATAATCCTCGTACTGTGGAATATTTATAATCTATTGTTTTAAATTAAATAATATAATAAATTGTTTATAATTTTTCATAAAAACACCTTGGCTTAGACTAATTATGATAATGTAAAGGGTGCAAATATGCATCATCGCTGTACATAAGAATGAAACTAAAAAAATAAAAATTGAAATCTTTTCTAAAGGGTTTGAGAATCAATGAATGCATGCATCTGTGAAAAGTTCATTACAGTGCATATTCCTAATGCACTTCAGACAATCAATCCTCTCATAGTAGGGTTATATGTACAACGTTCCAAAGAACGACAAAAAGTAGCACACCATCAGCTATGGGTTTGTGGAACTTTTCGAAATTTCCAGTACTTGAGGTTTCACCGCCCAATACCTTTGAAACCTCTGTCTTGCATACTCCATGAAATCAAAATCAATTTTGTTAACATGCTCCTGCAATAAATAAGAAGATCAACTGATTAAACTGTTCTTGTAAAACCTCTGCAAGTACAGAACCACATAAGAATGGTGGTATGGTGCCTTGATTATTTCATCAGACTCCTGAATATCTAGAGAGATTACAAGTAGTAGAAGAGCTTGATTATACCTTTTATTCTTAACTTTACACAGCACACATATCTGATGATATGAATTACTATTATGTTTAATAATTACGTGAGCAACTATACGAAATTTCAGTTTTTCTGCCACATTAATTTCATTTCAGCTAGGCCGATCTTTTTCCTTTTTTTTTTGGTCAATAAATACATACAGCAAAGCAATCAAAAAATTGGACTGCCCAAAAACCATATTATGATAATCTCTAAGCTCAAAAAGTGTAGGTACTGTACCGAGATTATTCCCCATAAGCCCCAATGAAGATGGCTTGCAAGAGTATACTTCTCCACTTCATGAAGTAACCGCTCCACCTCTAAATCACTTGGATTGCCTGCACGAAAATCTGATATTTCAGGAGATATTCATACACGAGATTATATAATCGGTCTTTCTGACAAACTTTCGAACTAAAGAAGGCCACTAACTATCCACTCTGTTATAGATCACTCAAGGAGTAAGGACAATGTGGAGTAAATAAACAATTAAGGTTGTTCCTTACTCGTGTTACCTGAACCACTTAGATAGATTCGCAAGAATCTTTTACGCTCCTCCAAACCTGGGATAGGAAAGAAAAGGCACTCATTTCACATATCGAAATAATAAAAAAAAAAAAAAAAAAAAAAAAAGTCTACCAAGATGAGAAGTCATCAAAGCAAAGAACACATTCCCTACCTGGATATTTACTGTAGTCCAAAATATGTGGTGTTTCAGTATGATAGTCTGCAACCATCTCACAGAAATGATTTGCAATATCAAAGGCGACATGGTTGTAGCTCGCGTATTCATAATCCTATAACCCAGCAAATGTAGCTTAAATCAAACGCAACTACACGTGAAGCATAAATCTCAAATATAAGGACAGATACGTGCTAAATCTCAAATATAGCTTGGGAACCAAATTATCAGAACTATCTTATTCTGATCGAACTGATTTCTGCAAAATGATTTCGTATTGCTCTGTTTCAATTAATTTTGTCGAAAAACAATACATGTTAGAAATTCTAATCAAACAATATCATTCGGAACTACCATATGCAAAATGATACATGAAAATTATTAAAACGGTGGTATGCAGGAGGAACTACCGATAGGTGTATAGAGGGAAAGTGCTAAACGAACAAAGTAAGGCATAGTTCTGTCACATTCATTTAATATTACATTCTGAATTTCTAATGCCTCTGAAAGGCGACTCGAGCTACCATTGAACACGTATCTAAGGTCCTAACATGAAGCCTTCAAAATCTGCAAGGTTACGTTAAGGGCATTAGAAAAACTATGTCTCCAATAGTCCATAAATATATGCATTATTGACCTGAACCAACCAAATTCCACTAGGATACCTCCCAGCTTATCACTGTTTCATAAGCCTTTCAACCAGGATTGGCGTGTCTTTCCCAGAAGGGCAAAAGAGGAATGCGCTGAAGAAGGGGACAGAGCTTCCTACGGGATCATATTAAGAAACAGAGAGCTACTAGAAGTTCAACCTAATCATTTTTGTGAGTTTGTATTAGTTCAATACCTTCCTCATTGGAAAAGTCTAGGGGTGCCTTTTAAATGTTCCGTCCTTAACATGTTTAGGAACTAGGATTTAAGCAGTCAAACTTGTTATGGTTAAATAATAAATAAGAACGATCTCCATAATTTGCACCTATATCAAAGGTAATGAGCATAGCTTGATACTCACAATTATGGTTATTAATCTGGTTTCTTCGTCCATCATTATGTTTCCATACTGCAAATCGTTGTGGCAGAATCCTACAAGTTCATTACTGGTCGAGAGATTCTTTCTCAGTGCAGATATCTCATCTTCCAGGACATTCAAGCGAAACTTTTCAGCCTCTTCTGGAGAAGATAAACGTTTTGCATCATTAAGCCAATTCCTGAAACATTAAGTAACAAGACCACATGTGAGTGCATACAACAAAGCAAACCATAGTTTCTTGAAATACCATTCTCTTGAACCTAGAAAGAAAGAGCATACCGCAATCTATCCCAGAGGACAACGGTCTTGGATCCAGGCATATCTAAGTTGTGGAACTCTTTCATTTTAGTTGCAATAAGAGCAGAAATCTCAGGATCACGCAAATCAGCTGCTGTAAGTGTCTGGGGTGACAAAATTGAAGGCAATATGTTACTCGATATGCAATTTGCTTCCAGAATTTTTTTAAATGAAATCACTGAAAAAACATAGGAAGTCCAATAAAATCAGAGTAAATTCAATGATGAAGGAGCAACGAATTCAATCATTAGAAACGTAGCTAATTCAAAACAATCATCAGAGTTTCGCAGCACAAAAACTTCACACAGATACAACAAATACAAAATAAATAAAAATAAAATGAAATGCACCACAACGGAAAGCACAAAACACAATCAGCTAGAGAAGAAAAAAGCAGGTCGAGTAACAAGCCAAAAAACGTGTACCCGAGCCCGGATAAACTCCTCGACACGGCCATTAGAGAAGCGGCCGAGCAATCGAGGCCCCTGGCGTTGCTTGGACATGAACTCAAACGTACGTATCTCATTTTCCCGATCGAAGAATACTTCGACGCCGGCACCGTAAATCCTCACCAACACTTTCCTGGATCTCGGCAGGGACTCGTCGGGGTTGGAATTCCGAAGCCATCTGATCTGGTAGACCTCGTTAGTCATTGCACCCTTGAGCGGAATCACCTGCAGCGCATCCGCATCGGCTATGTCGCTCCATTCCGCCGCCAGCGATTTGAGAATTTTCTTCGCGTCGTCTGGAATTCGAGATTCCTCGTTCAATTTCTCCGACGAACCCATGGTGTAATTGATGGGAGAAAGGAATATCCGAGGGTTTTGAATAGGAGAATCCGATCGAGAAATCCGCCGGTCCAAAGGGAAAGAAGAGAGGCAGACCTTCGGGATCGCAAATAATGCCGTTGCCAGATGGCGGTGATTATCCGGGAAATTGTTGAAGCATGTGCGTCTCACGTGATGCAGGCATTTCATCATGTTCTTTCAGATGGACTGATACTACTAGTAAAGTTGATATAGTTAAAGATTTTATTTTTTCTTTTAAATAATGTTTTTCAATATTATTTATTAATTCCGTAGAAACTTTAGGTAAAAAATCATTAAACTACTTTTATATCCTTGACATAAATTCAAAATCAAAATGCAAATTACTTTGAAATAACATTTCAAATACTGTATTTCAAGTTGAGAATAATTTGTATATGGCAACTGCTATATATCGAAATATGACACTGTTTTTCGTATGAGTGCAAAGATTGGAACTAATAATATCCGTTGGATGCAGAAAGAAATTCTTCGAGGAGCCGTTCGATAGTCCTCCTAGACGTAACTTTATCGATTTCGAAAACTCTCATCTCATCTTTCAGTCCTGCATTATCACATAAGCATAAACACGCAAAAATTGAATCTCAGCGTTGAAATTCATTTGCAGTTGACTATAAATGCTAATAATAAGTTGAAACTCACCAGATTGATGTAGAGCTTTGAGTGGTAGTTGTACTGAACTTGCATTGAGGAATCCTAGCAGGTTCTTCATTAGCTCAGAAGACTCGGCAGATACCAGAATTTCCCTCTAATTAAAAAAAAAAACAAAAAAAAACGAAGATAGCTTCAGATAGCTGATGTGATTGATGCTGTATAAAATCGAGAGAAATGTGCAGAATTTATCAGAACCTTGAATTTCTTCTGAGAATCATAGTAGCCAGAAACAACAACTAGTAGGCCAAGTTTTTCCAGTTCTGCATTAAAAAAACAGCACTAAAATTCAGGAGCTGATGAAATATAGAATCAGAAGCAATTTAAAGTTCTTCTAACAAAAAAAAAATCGCATTTAATTAATTTATTACTTTGGAAATGTATGATTTCTGAAATTGAAGTGGAATCATGAGACAGCAGTTGTGCAATCGACATCCCTATCGAACTCATCCCGATATTTGGTGTCAGCATTCTTGAACTGATAGTATTTGATTTACCTGTTTTAGACGAGTAAAATTAGAAGAAAAAAAAAATCAATCAAAAGCTGGTTTTCAATGTATGTTATGAACACGGAAAAAAAAAATTTAGTAAAATAGAAATTTGATAACTGATAGTTATATGGAGAATTAACCTGATCTTGTCCATTTCTTGAATTCCTTGCGCAGAATTTCTTCCATGTTAAGGTCGGAGGAATCATGGGTCTTGTACTTCACTGAGAAACAAAAACAAAAGGAAAGAAAAAGAAAATGCGTGTCCATTATCAATGAATTAATTTGTAAAATGTAGAGGCACGATAAAATTATCGATCTTACAGATATGGTAAAGGCCGTTGCATCCATACCGACCAGCTCCATTAATTAATAAGGTGGCCATATATTTATCTTTGGAGGTACATTCTGAGTTTGATAGGTTTCCAGTATCCGCAAGAATGCCTGCTAACTGCCAATCGATGAAACGAAATGACAAGCTAAATATTTCTGAAAACCAATGGTAAAACAGATGTCTGGTATTTCTTCGGTATTTCCTTGATGTATGATTGAGATGGCAATAAATGGACCCCTTTTTTTATTTTACGTTGTGAGATATCATTACAACTAAAATTGCATCAAATCAAGAAAACAGAGTATGGATACATGCAACTGAAAAGTGATGACTCAGTACCAAAAGTCTACTGAATCCTTGCCCAGCCAATATTTCAGGTGAAATCATTGCAAACTTTTCAGCAATAACGGTACAGCATGACACATCCTGAAATGAAAATTACTCAATTGTATTCATTTTGTACGTCATTCATATAACAGGAAAATATATTGATGAAGATAGTCGATAGAATTAAGTGTGAGCGTTCAAAACCAATATCGGAAGAGAAGAAAGAGATAGACAGAATAGTTGAGTTTATGTTGTAAAGGTATACCTGTCGTACAGTGGTAGAATCAACCCAAGAATATGAATGAGACTGCAAAAAAAAAAACATAATAATGTCAAAACATACTCCCTTGCATATAGAAAGTAAACTACTAAGATAATAAATACTGATCGATAACGAGAGTCAAGATAAACAAACCTTTGAGCAATGAAACACTTCAACTATTGCCTCTTTCAGTGCCTGCTCCAATAATTAGCATATGCTTGTCATTTCCACAAACGAACAAGTTGAAATTAAAGTGCGTACCTCTTGTTCGGATGGGATTTTATCGCAGTTGAGTAAAACTAGTTTGAGACTCCCAAACAAATCATAATAGGACAAGTCAATCTGCGCAAAATTCATAACAAGGAAGAAGAATTTTCACATTTTGATTTATATCAAAATTAGAAGATTGAGGAGTTGTAAGTCAAAAATACCTCGTCAATAAAAATTAACGATGAAAGATCGATATTGCATGAACGAAGAAGCCACTGAAGACCAGCATGTGAGTCTAACTTTGCCCTCTTCATATTGATGACTGGCACAGTACACAACTGGTTGCTCTTAAGAGTTTCGTCGAGATAAAAAGCATACATGATGGTCGAAGCCACAGATCCCACATCTGCACAAATATTATGTCTGGTTATGGAAAGAAATATTTGTTTAACTATGACTAATTTAATCGGAATTAAATTTAATTGGAATCACCAGGAATATCCGGCCCAATTACAGCATGCAAGAACTTTCCAGGAACACCAGCATTCACATCATCTCTCCTAGCTTTAAGATACTTGTTTAGCTTGTAAACACTTTCACACGATTCAATAACTTCCATTTTCGGTGAAGTACCAGAATAAAATAATGCTGCCGAAGGAGGAAGATGAACACCAGAAATATCATTTTGCCTCTTACTCACATTGTACGAACTTTTAAAGTTAACCTCTTCCTTTGCTTCGCTGGCATCTGGACTAATATAAGCTGCTAATGTTTCTTCAAAATTATGGATAACTCTTAGTGGAGAGGAAGTTTTTGACCACCTCCCAGATAATGACCGGCCAATGGGTTCCAGGACAATGTCCGAGGGAGAGTTTTTCGGGCTGTAAGTAATATCTTCGGTTTTTCGGTTTACTATGTCTGAAGCTGATCTGTTAATGCTTTTAGTTGTTCCTAATTTTCCTTGAAAGTCCAAGCCACTGCCCTTGTTCACCGCTGCTGCTTCACCTCTTCGTATCCCATTGAAAAATGGATCGTCACGAGTACGAACATATCTTTCCTACAGTTGAGGTGGAAAATTAGATGATTAGATGAAACCATAATAAAATTTTAATTAGAAAGAAAATTTCAACTAATTGTAGCAATTACGGCTATTAGGAATGAGTGTTTACCATATAGGGATTTCGATACAACTGCACACTCCACTGGAAAGAAGGAAAGAAAGGGGGGAAAAGGAAAAGACAAATCTAATTTGGTAGGATCAGAAGAGCATCTTAACCTATATTCAGGCATCTTCACCTGTAATGCGAGCAGCTAAATGAACCAGAAACTACACACATGTGTCAGCTAGTAGACACTCTACGTGATTTGTACTTCACCCGAAAAATATACCATTACGTAACGTATTTCATCACTAATTTGTCGTCACGCGTAGAAACCACTTTTAACCGCCCGTGGTTATTGATGTAATCCCGTCTATATATTTCGTATCGCTTCAAGATTTCAAGCATACGTCCAATTCCATTTTATTTCTAAATATTCAGAGCCGCTATCAAAATATCAAACAAAAATTGAATCACACACTATAATAATCTCTGCTGCAATTTTCTGTGCCAACCTACACCATATAATCGAAAGGTGATTTTTACCTGTTGAGTTGAGGTGGTTGAATTGGAGGCGGTGGTGGACTTCATTTTGGCAGCAAAAAAGAAGCCTAAATTAATTAGCCTTCAAATGGAACAAACACCTGTGTATGTGTGTGTGCAGTGTGTGTTTGCTGGAGGTGACGGAGGATTTGAGGAAGACAGGACAAAGAGAAGGAAATATCGAAGCGTTGGGCTATTAGCATTGTGAAATCCGCCATTGGAGTACATTATTGGAGTTATTGCAGAGCATTCGGCAGATAAAATCATGCAAACAAAAAAACCAGGTAAAATCCCCAAATCCCTAAATCACTATTCCCTAAGTGCAAGATAGAAAACAACTCTGGAATTGCACAACATTCTTGTTAATATAACTAACTACATCCAGTTCGTGCTCTATAAAATTGCTTCTTATAAGAATTTTTCAAACTAAAATAAAAACACGAAGGAAATAGGGCACCTCTTGGTGAAAACGGAAAAATACTCCGCGGCGGCGACGGCGATCCACTGCTCTCGGCGGCGATCGTAATCATCGGTGGCATAAACGGCTTAGGTAAGTGTTGCGTCAGCATTACTCCTCTTTCTTCCGTTGCAATTAGAGATTACTGCAATCGTGTAGTAGCAATTACTACATTGAAAAATTATATTTTGACAATCTTACTGCAGAATGCAAATCATATTTTCGTAATCGTCGTAATTTTGGAAATCCAGATTTATTATTTTAATTTTTAAACAAGCAATCTCCGTAATATGGTAACAACTTTTAGAACCTTTTTCTAAAGCACGTGAAAAAAGTGTTTTTTTTACCCCAGTTGGACCCGGAAGAAATTATCAATTAAATAGAATTATTAATTTATCGAATATTAATTCACTGAATATTAGTTTATCGGGATTTTATTGTATATTGTCGTCATGTCGTGGTTTTATTGTCGGCATGGAAAAAAAAGTGAATGAAATAATGTAAAGATTGACTTAATTTTGAGAAGGTAGGTGGATTACATTCAATTATGATAATCACCTTTTTAAATTTCTTTAATTCTGAAGATTATTGAAATTTTACAAGCTATCTCTTTTCACACTAGGTGAGTAAAACCAATTATGAACTCTATAAATTAGCTCCTCCACCCCATCACTTGCATCATCACACACAGAATATACATTTTCTGTGATTTTTTTCAGACACAAATATGTATATTATTTATTTATACGAGGTTTCATATAATATATATTAAGTAAAACTTAAAGATTTGATTTTGTAAATTACAGTATTCGAGAAAGAAAAACGGGAGAACAATATAGGAGTAATGGACATGCCTGGCTCCCTGTATGCCACTCGGCTATACCAATCCGATGGAGTTGATTGGTTGAATCGGGTGGCGTACGAGGAGCGAAGCATGTCGAAAATGTATTGCTCCTTCGTTAACTTTTCTATCTCGAATATTAAATAATTATTATATAAATCTTTTAGCTAGTAATTTTTTCTTAATTATTAGTAAAAAGAAATTCATTTTTTATATTTTAAGCCCATCAACAATTTTCTCTATGGGCTTTCTCATCTCTTTGGCCCACTAAGATTTCAATACAGTCAGGTCCAATCCAGTAAACAAGTTCTTCAATACAAAGCCCACCATGAGACATGTAAAGTTCCAATTTATTCTTTATTTATTTATTTTCATTATGAAATAAATTTCTAATAAAAAAAATAACTCTTCCCTCTGCATTAAGTACATTTTTTTCTAAAGTTTTTTTTAATTCATTCTTCATAAAAAAAAAAATCGCAGAAGCACGGGTATGTTGCGACGACAAGACATAACAAAAAATTTACGAATAATATCAGCAAAAGTCGATAATATGTTATTTTGTACAAGATTTAATTGATATGACATGTAATGAAAAAAAAAATGGGGGTCCGTCGTTTCGTCCTCTTCAACGTACACACATTCTTCGAAAACTTCAAGTATTGAAGAAAAAACAAAGATTTCGTTTTCTTTACGTACAAAATTCATCTCATACACGGATGATTGTCGGATTTTGATGATGTGATTGCATATTTTGAAAATTATATTAAGGTAACAAATATATTGCTTTTAGGAACATAATTAAGGTGTACTTGATGTTGTATTTTGCAAATACATAAATAAAATTATGTTGATTTAATATTTATTTACAAATAATGACCTTGGTTTTCCGGAACTTCATTAATATGCAATTAAAGCAGCTTGGGGGATCTCGAAATTGATCCCCAAAATAAAGGTAAAAAGTATTCTTCTTATCTTATTGCCAATGTAAGTAAAGTTGTGATTGTTAATTCCACGTGCACCTGCCACGCAATTCTAGGGACTGTCTTTATTTTATTTTATCTTCTTCAAAAAAAAATTAAATTTTTTTTTCACATGCAAAGTTGATGGATTTTACTTTAGTTAATTTTCTCTTATTTATTTAAACATACATTAAATTTATATTTTTAATTTATAGTAATTCCCTTATCTTCTCGAGGTGATAATTTAATCTGGCTGGTTGTTTTTTTTATAGGGTAAATTACAAACACCCCCTAGGTATGGTCAAATTACAAAAACACCCCTCTTGTTTGAATAATTACAACCACCCCCTCAACTCCTCAAATTTAGTGAAATCTTCGAGATTATGTGGAATATTATCACTTTTGTACCCGTTTTATCTCATTCAAACTCTACATTATGAAGCAAGATGATCATAATATGTGATTTTTAGCTTGTATATATCAGTTTTTTGTGCATCGGAAATTGTATTTTTACACAAAACAAGTACAAAATAGAGCAAATTTCACGGAATCTAGATGATTATGTTGAATTTGGCACCATAAAGGTGGAGGTGTAAGAAAAAATCATAGTTGAGGGGGGTAGATGTAATTATCCAAACAGGAGGGGGGTTTTGTAATTTGACCATACCTTAGGGGGTATTTGTAATTTACCCTTTTTTCTATGATATGTGGCTCAAAAAGAGAGGTTGGTGGCTGATCAATCAGGGCCGTCCATGTATACAGCTGGATTAATTACATCAAAGGTCAGGATGAATCGTGAGATATACAGTTAGTTGAAGTAGCCGGTAAATGGCCGGCGGCGGAAAGTGACGTCAGCGGTGGATGATTAATCAGATTCAGCAACCAAAGAAAGACTTTTTGAGGAGGAGCCATTAAACATGCACGACTTTTAATCAAAAGTCTTCGTTAATTAATTACTCAAATTTCACATATTAATCAGACGTAAGCATCGATGCAGGGTTGTCATTATTAGGATCAGTCACGGCTTTAATTAATTGTTTAATTCAGGTTATTAATTAGTAATTAATAATAGTTTAACAAATGGGATTAAAATATGATTGTGGATCACATGGAAGGATGCTTCTTTCTTCTTCTTCTTCTCTCCCACAGTTTATAATAATTAATTAATTAACAAAATTTTTAAGAGGACAAATTCTGTGTCAGAGAATCCCAGTGTTAACCTTGTTTTATTGTGTGGGCATTTTGTTTCATGCATGAACATGGCTTGTAATATTTTTTTAATTTAATTTTAAGAAAATACACATAAAAGAAAATAAAAATATAATTAATTAATGTTTGATAAAATTGGGGAAACAATACATTTAGTAAATTATTGAAATTCTAAATATTTATAAAAAAATGGGATCGAAAAGAAAATTCTCCAAAGTGACAGATAATTTGAAACGGGAAATATAAATTAACGGAATAAGTGAAAACAATTATTTAAATGGCTAGTAGCAGCTACAGCCATTTGGAGCATTCTTAAATTCTAAACTTCATGTGCCAATTTTAATTTTGTGAGTATTTATTAATAATTCATAATCTTCACTACCACATGACCTGATACAGTTTGTAATAATTAATGATGAAACATTAATTGTTCGTGCTTTTTATATTTAATTTTGACTAATTATTACCTCATTATCTGATATAATTCGAATATAATTTTATTAATTGTACATTAATTTGATTATAATTTTGGTGGTCTCAATTAGTCCTGAGTAGGTTCTCTAACCTACCTATATATTACAACGTTATTAAGATATAATATCTGTACTTTGAGGCATAATTGTAATTAATTAATTAAAGATTTGAACACTGACTGAGCCATATATATAGAGTATAGACATCACATCAAACATAGAGAAGTCGGTGCCCCCATTGAAAATTTCTTATTTGAATATATTTACATTTACACACTCATAGTATTAATGAAATTCAGATATTTAAGTTAGGAGAAATAATAAATAAATAAATAAAATGAGTAAAAATAAGAGAATATATATACAATGATTTTCTTGTTTGGGAGTGGTGTTTTCTCCGAGAAATGCGGCTGGTTGTTGCCTCTTTACTTTTCCATGACTTGTTTATTGTAATTTGTAAATGATTTATTTTATATATAGAAGAGATGTACGTATATGTGTATGTAGTGGTTTAATTAGTTTAGTAGCAAAACAACAAATTAAGGACATGGTCCAAGATAAGAGATTAGATGGATAGAGAGAAGGTGAAGAACAATAATATGCTAAAATAATATTAATATTAATAATTAATTAATTTAACAGAAACAGTTGCACAGATCGATTTGACCATTATTACTTCATGTAATTGTTGAATAATTAAATAAATAAAATTGAACCAGCTCAATTAATCCTTGTTAAAATTATATTATATTTAACTTGTTAATTAACAACTCTCTATCCGGGCCCTCCAATTCTCTCTCTAGATCGGTTTGCGTATGGAATTGAGCTGTTTTATATCACACAAGTCAGCGTTTTCATCTCTCTTTCTCTCCTCTCTCTCTCTCTCTCTAGATCACCATTTCATTTCATTCCATCTTCATTTTGTTTTTTTGTTTTTTTTTAATAATTAATGTGTGTTTGGAGCAAAAGAGAGGCAAATTAAATTAAAACTGATGAATAAAAGTGAAACGAGACAGTTTTTTGGTGTTGAGTTGAGTTGAGTTGAGTGTATATCGATCATGTGCAGTCACTTCTTGAAGAGGATGGAGAATTACCAGCAGGGCGATTTGACTGACATATTAAGGGCCAGCGGCGGCAGCAAAACAGCAGCAGAAGAGGCCGCCGCCGCCGCACTGGCGGATTGGCAGTTTCCAGCTGCCAACAACACCGTTGATAATAATATTAATAATTATCCCACCGACGACCCGGTAGATGTTTTCGGGGACCCGTTTAGCAGCCACATGGGCGATCCACTTCTTCTTCTTCACGGTATCAACGCCGCCGCCACCGCCGTCCCGGCATCTGGATTATTTCTCCACAGCAGCTCTGAAGAAACTGGAAATAGCAGTAGTAGTACTGTAGGGTTTACTTCTATTGATGGATTGAAAAGACCTAATAATATGTTTTCAAGGATGCTTCAGATCGCACCTAACCCGAAATTGCCGCTGCCACCGTGTGATTCTCCGGCGGCTGAATCGCCGAGGGGGTTAGTAAAGGCTCCTCCTGATAATAATACTTTGATCATTTCCCCAAATAGTTCCAAATTAGGTTGCTTGTTGGAAAGCCCTGGTAATTTGCAGATCTCGTCTCCGCGAAATACGGGCATCCGGAGAAGGTGGGTATTTTCTTTTCTTTTATTTTCTTCAAACCGACGATTATATTCATATCTGCAAATATAATAATTGTGAGATGAATTTAATTTCTGCCATTGTCAAATTGTCCGTAACTTTTGGCTTTTCTGAAGGAAAAAAGTGAACAGATGAACTACTGCTCAATACTCATGCATGCAGTTCTCTGAAAATGATATATATATATACACAGCAAATAAAATAATTTAATTTGTTCTTTTTTTGATAGAATATATATGTATGTATGTATATATATGTGCAGGAAGAGTCAGGCGAAGAAGGTAGTGTGCATACCTGCACCAGCGCCAGCAAACAGTAGATCCAGTGGAGAAATTGTTCCATCAGATCTTTGGGCCTGGAGAAAGTACGGCCAGAAACCAATCAAAGGTTCCCCATATCCTAGGTAATTAAATTAATTAATTTTATATGATGATTAATTATTAATTGGTAGATAGATGAAACAAAAATTGATGTGATGAAAAATCCAGGGGTTACTATAGATGCAGTAGCTCAAAGGGGTGTTCGGCCCGGAAGCAAGTAGAGCGGAGCCGAACCGACCCGAATATGCTGGTCATCACCTACACTTCGGAGCACAACCACCCATGGCCCACACAAAGAAATGCTCTCGCCGGCTCAACCAGGTCCCAGCCCTCGTCTTCGTCCAAGAACATTAACCCATCATCATCATCATCTCAAAAGTCCACCAGATCAAACCACCTGCAGAAACATAATCACCATCATCAAGAAGAGCACAAGCTGCTGGAGGAAGAAAGTAGTACTCGTGGTGGCGGTGGCGGTGATGACACGACAGCAGTTGGTGGCGGCGGCGCCGTGAAAGAGGAGGAGATGGAACAAGACTCGGACGATCATCATCACTTGGAATTTGACGATAATAATCAAGGGTTTTCGCATATCTACAGGCCAACATTGCCGGATGCCGCCCACCATTCCGAAGACAGTTTCTTATTCGCCGATCTCGGAGAAATCGAGACCGACTCGTTGGATATCTTGCTGAAGCAAGGATTCTCCGGCGAGGATGATGGCCCAGACAGCAAGTCTTTGGATCCATTCACCTTCTACGATTGGGCATCAACTGGAAACAACAACAACATGATCAGCACAACCACTACTTCTTCTCCCGCCACCGCCGCCGCCGGAGCAGCCACCACCACTACATCTTATGGAGAGCCAGCTAATAAGAATAACGATCATCCATGATATGATTCTCCGATTCAACAACACAAGCCGGCGGGCCCCACTCATCATGAGATAAAGATATAAACACAAAAGCAGCTATTATACATTTCATGTATGTATAATTCAAGAAGCCATGCATACTGTGCATGTGTGTAAGTTTTCGCCGCCGCACGTGGGGAAGTTTTTTCATAATATTGATTAATTTTCTGTAGACATGCATTTTTCTTAAACACTTTTGATTAGGCTACTCATATATAATTAATTAGTGTTATAAGTTATAAATTGGGAGCAGTTAATTATATATATAGATATACAATGAATTAATGAAGTACTACTGCATTGCATTTGGTTTTGGAATATTGGTAGTGTGGATGGGACAGAAAGGTGAGGAACAGAAGGTTTCAACAGTTAACAATAAAAAAGGTACATGATTTCAGACAAGACAGGATATATAATACTATGCCCCTTACTACAAACAAATTAAAATATAATCATTTCTGGGAAATATGTATTTTTGATATATATGTATCATGTATGTATATGATCATACAGTAACACAAGCAGCTTTTTGTTCCGATCCTCATCTTTCTCTTCTTTTATTTATCTTTTTATTAATGTATATATACATCTCAAAACAATAATATTGTTGTTTTTCTATGGTTTATGTTATGAATTCTTCATTCTTGTTCCTCCTAAGATTTTCTTTATGCAGACTACTACTTTGGATTGTGGTTTTTTCTTTTTTCTTTTTCCCGAAATACTTAATTGAAAATTTGTGTCGTAATTACGTCGAGCCATCGTAATCTAAATCTTCTAACTCTCGTTTTATTCTAAAAAAAAAAAGAAATTAATACATGTGTTTTATTCTAATTGTTAAGAAAGTTGTTGTGTTATTAATATTGGTAAAACATCACTATTTACTCTCTCTCTTTCTAAATAATTATTTCTTTTTAGAATTGCAGAAGCATTAAGAAACTCAATAAATATATCTTCATTTTAGTAAAATTATATAAAAGTGACTAACATAACTCTTCTTTATAAGAGATAGTTAATAGTTATAGTTGAATTACAAGATTAAAACATGCATATATGCAGTTAATACAGTATTGAAAATGCATTATAAAATACTTTGCTAATATTAATATAATGTAGTGAATGCAACAAATTAATAATTGGAAATTTAGATAGTAGTGGAAACACGTTTGATAGGTTGTATTATTATTATTATGATGATAATTATTAGTTGGCAAACAGTGGGATATCTCGAATTGTCAAATCCATCAACTTTCATCAAACAATTTATGTACCTAAAGTCGTTTTCTGATTGGATGAAAATAAAAAGCGCATTTGGAGACTCGATTTTTATAATTGGCGACACTGTTTGGGGTGATGATTTTGATGGGTAAGGAATCGCACTACACTTACATACATTAAAATTGACCATGCAATTAGTTATTCCAATACACTAACCTGTTTCCGTAAAAGTCGTGTTTTCAAATTTTATGAGATTCACAGAGTATGACGTGGCCGTTTTCTCGCCATGCGGCTAGCCAGCCCACGGCTCTGAATTGAACGCCGTCGTTTAGCTTCCTCAACTCCTCTAACTACCAAAATGCCACGTTCCCCAATTTTGAATTAAAAGTTCAATTCCTACCCTAATTGGAAGGTGAAGAGCAGTGACGGTTGGAATTCGATCGCCGACGAACGAAATAAGATGATGATGAAGCTGAATTTTGTAGCGCAGCAGTGGGTTTTGATGGGGAGGCGAATTCAGACGCCATTTTCAATGCCCCGCATGTTTTCTTCTGCAATTAAACAATGTGAAGGCGGTGTTTCAATGGTTCAAGGTGCTTCCAGAGGCATTGGCCTTGAATTCGTGAGTTCACAATTCTTCATAAAGTTTTGCCATTGTTTAGGTTTTTTGTCAATTTGTGTTTTCATATATGATTGCTTCCTTGTTGCGCATGAAAATGGGGATGGGGATCATTGCATAAGCATAACCTAGTTCTTCCATTGCATAATATAAATGCATATTGATCGATATAGTAGTCAATCTTTCATGGCTGCCATCTCATTGCATAACATAACAACGATGTGTGTCGAATTCTTCAGTTTTGTTTGGATTTTATTACTTTAATTCATTTTCGGCTGCATATAGGTTAGACAATTGTTAGAGAAAAACAACAAAGGGCATGTTGTGGCAACATGTCGTAATCCTAACGGTGCGAACGGGCTTTTGGAATTGAAGAATAAATTTGCCGAACGGCTAGATATTCATCAGCTAGATCTCACCGTTGATAGCACAATAGAGGTATTACTAATTTCAGTACGCATACTTTTCACCTCCTTTGTCGATGATTTTTATGATCTAGAAATGATATTCGTTCCAATTCAACTTATTGTTCTTATTGCATTATTATCATGTTCTTCGCCTTATACCAAGTATTAATTCTAGGCGGCAGCAAAATCTGTGGAAGATAAGTATGGTTATCTAAACCTTCTCGTAAATGCATCTGGAATCCTCTCAATACCCAATACTCTGCAGCCAGGTACAGATGTCCACTAATTATTTTTATCGGTTTAGCGCATATAGATTAATTCTGGTTAAAGTGAAATAATGTTTGATAGAAGCTCAACCGGTTTCCATTAAATTGAATCGAGTGTTTTATGTGTTGTTCAGTACAGAAACCACATTGAACAAACTTCAAAGAGATTCGTTACTTCTCAACTACGAGGTCAATGCTGTTGGCCCTATTTTGGTTATCAAGGTAAGTGCTGTTAGTTTCTTCTATTTGTTATCAACTGCTTGAGTAGTTAAAAAGACATGTCAAATAAGGAAGATGCTTTGGAATTTAACTTGCCTAACGTGGCCTATCGTTGTATGGTTGCTTTGATTTTGGCAACTCCTCGTTTATGAACTATTGCTTGTGATTTGTATGGGAAAAAAGCATATGTGGCCTCTGCTCAAGGTTGGAGGTGGTACTGGAACAGAGAGAAGCTTAGCAGTTGTTGCCAACATAAGTGCGAGAGTGGGATCGATCGGAGATAATCGTTTAGGAGGGTGGCACTCGTATCGGTCTTCAAAGTCCGCACTTAATCAATGTAACAAACTTCACTTCTCTGTTAATTTAAAAAAAAAAATTCAAAGTGGTGTTTGCTATACGTAAAATCCTTTCTTTAAACCGTGCAGTGACGAAGACTGTGGCGGTGGAATTTGCGCGCAAGAAAGATCCAATTACATGCATTCTGCTGCATCCAGGCACAGTAGATACAGATTTATCGAAACCATTTCAGAAAAATGTTCCAGAAGGAAAACTCTTCACCAAAGAGTTTTCGGTCCAGAAGCTACTGAGCATCATCAACAATGCCAAAGCATCTGACAATGGCAGGTTCTTTGCTTGGGATGGTCAAGAGATTCCTTGGTGATATAACAAACCACCAAATGGATCAATTTAGATATTTAGTTTTAGATTATGGGATGAAATATCGATCAGACCGCTTATCTTCGTTTTTTTTTGTTTTCGCTAAACGCATTAAAGTACTCAAAATTCTTATTGCAATAATCTTTCTTGGGAAAATCGTACATATGACAAGCATGCAACTAAATTATTAACTCCACATCTCACTGGATCGGAGCTGTCTTATTCAAAACATCTTCTACACCTCTAACGTGATCTGATCAAACTCGAACGGGTCTCAGTGGAGCCTGCAAAAATGAAAACATGAGTTTAGAAACACTCCAAGTTATGAGGAAATTTAAATGTTTTGTTTTGTAGGGCTTACTTTTCGCAATCGGTGTTGATAGAAACAGGGAAGCCGACTTTGATGTTACAAGCAGAAGGGATCCTGCTCAAGAGCTTGTCCTGCACGCCTGCGAAGTTTTTGATCCCGGCCTTGAGGCACCTGCAGATGGCCTTTTTGTCGTCAACCGATTTGACGGACTGAGCCAGCTGTTGTAGGCCAGCACAGCATGCGGGCGAAGGCTTCGAGTCTTTGCCGGTGGCAAATGTGATGCACGAGGCTGCCTTCATGTCGACCGTGCCGCACGTTGGGGCTGCATTGCTCGATTGAGCGTAGAAGTAAATCAGGGAGAGGACAACAAACAAGGATAAGAGTGAAGCCTTCATTTTGGTGTTGTTTTTGGATATTGGAATGTGGTAAAGAGTATTAATTAGAGGAAGAATGGATTGATGATGAGAAGTTGGTGTGGTGGAAATGGGGTTTATATAGAGAGAAGTTGATGAGAAGTTTGGTTTTTGGGCATTGGCATTGGAGTATGTGGAGTTTTAGCTTCCCAATACAATCTGATTTTATGGATAACTATTTTGCAGGTGGTGTCTTGGGTTGATGAAAGTGAATAAAGCCAAAATAAAAAAAAAAAAATTATGAGGGACTTTATTTTGAAAAAAGAACTATCTAGGGGTCAAACCGAGAATAGCAGAAGATTTTCGGGGTTAAGATGTAATATTCAAATAATTTGGACGGCAAACGTGTAATGTAACACAAAACAGATGTAATGTCCACTGATGGGGAGTTAATTTTTTTAGCTCAAATACTGATGGGCTCGACGGATACAGCCCACTTCCCAAGATAGCCGAAGAATTCCGGGGTCAATATGAAATATGCATATAGTTTGGGGGCAAAAATGTAACACAGAACAGATGCAAATCAAAGCAATTGTTCAGAGAGAGAGCTAAAATCCTTAGAAAGAGCACATTTCCCCTAAATTATACAAACCCAAAACCCAGGAACCTAGGAGAAAGAAGAAAGCAGAATCGATGAACAAGAAGAAGGTATTCGAATTGGCGAAGGGTTTTCGAGGGAGAGCGAAGAATTGCATAAGGATAGCGAGGGAGAGAGTGGAGAAGGCGCTACAGTATTCATACAGAGATCGCCGCAATAAGAAGCGTGATATGCGTTCCCTTTGGATCATGCGTATCAACGCCGGCACTCGTCAGTACGGGGTGCGTTTTTCTTCCCTTTCTTTTCCTATCAATTTTCGAATAGCTGCTGTTTCTTCTTACTGGTCCAGGGATTTATGAGTTTTGGGTTGGTAATTGGTATGGGTCTGAAGGAATTTATGTTAAAATACTGTTTGCTGTAATTAATTTCGCATACAGTGTGTCACACTGCATTTTGGTGTGATTTATGAGTGTGTGGTTTGTGAAATAAAAGTAAACTGAGTCCTGTAAATATCATCACTGGCAACACAGTTATAAGCTTTCACAGAGCTGTAGGGTTAGCGTTTGGTGACAATTAACGTGCGACAAAGATGAGATTAAATGGACGCGGCATAATTAAATAGGATAATTAATTAAATGCCAAATCGGGATTCAGTCCGAATGTCCCGAAGGTTAAAGTCCAAATGTGAACTTACAGCAAGTAGGTTCATTTAGATGAGATATAGTATGTGTCATGGAAAAGAACAAGAGAGGTTTATTTAACGAGAGAAAAAAAAAAGGTTAATGGGCAGGCAAAGGCTGTTGTTTTTGTTATTGTTATTGCTCGACGTTGTTTCTTACAACCAGTAGTTGTAGTAATGGAAAGTTAAAGTTACCAAACTCTTTTGCTATTGATCCTCAAATGAGTATTCGGCAATGTCGTAAATTTCAGGTTAATTGTTTTGGTTTGTGTTTGCTGAAGATGTGTTATGATGTAACTTTTTCTTACACTCGTCATTTGCACGACAGGTGAACTATGGAAACTTCATACATGGACTGACGAAGGAAAATATCCAGCTGAACAGGAAGGTTCTATCAGAGATATCAATGCACGAGCCATACAGCTTCAAGGCCCTTGTAGATGTATCTCGTACCGCCTTTCCTGGAAACAAGGCCGTTGTACCTCCCAAGAAGCAAGGCCTTGCAATGCTTGTCTGAACGAATTCTTTTGGTTTTGCTCATCGGATTGATTAGAAAGGATTGTTCAAATCATCTTTTGTTTTTTACTGCTCAAGATAATACTGTACATATGTTGAAGTGTTTGGTTTTGATTCTGAACGCTTGTTTGCTTTGTCTAATTCACTGCGATAAAATGGCAAATGACAACATCGAAAAACATTGTGTATTTTTTGCCGGGAATGAGAGTTCCAAAAAAAATTGCTGGGATTCCACCTGTTTTTTTTTCTTCTTCCGGCACCCTCTTGGGATTCATGCAAGTACGGCTGCGAAAATTAGTCAAATACGAACATTCTTAAACTTAGGTTTCCACACGGACAGATATTTCATGGCATGCACGACATCTTTTTTGCACATGAATCAGACAATGAAACAAAGATTTGAGTCATCATTAGACGAATTCAGCCGTTTTTCAAAGTTCAAACCCAGCTATAACCCGGTTCCTTGGAGACCTGCAGCTCTTCCATTACACCTCGAACATCTTCCACATCATCCCATCTATCCAACGACGAATACATATTCGCCATAAGCGAATACGACGCAGAATTTGTGGGGTCCAGTCTGAACAGCTCGTTAGCCGCCCTTCTTGCCAACTTTACATTCGCATGAACCCTACAAGAACTGAGCAACACCTCCCAAATAATCGGATCGTCTTTGCACCCCATCTTATCTATAATTTCCTCAACTTCATTGAACCTGCCAGCTCGCCCCAACGAATCAATAACACAAGTGTAGTGATCGCTAACCGGCTCCACACCATGTTCTTGCATCATCGTATCGAATATTCTCAATCCAATATCCACCAATCCAGAATGACTGCAAGCAGTTAAAACAGCAACAAATGTTATACAGTCAGGCTTGAAACTAGCTTCAATCATGTTTTCGAATAAACGAACCGCATCTTCTCCACGCCCGTTTTGAGCATAACCGTGTATCATCTCATTCCAGGTAACAGTATTCTTACACGGCATCGTATCAAAAAATTGTCTAGCCCCATCCACATCACCACACTTACAGTACATATCGATGAGACCAGTACCTACATAAACATCGTTTGCATATCCGTTTTTCACTATCAGACCATGAACTTGTCTCCCTTGGGACAGAGATGACAGCGACGAGCAACAATTCAGTACAGTAGCGTAAGAAAATTCAGTCGGCGACATCCCTTTACCTAGCATTAGCTGAAAGAAAGTAAAAGCTTCTTTATCCAACGAATTAAGGGATAAACCTGATAACATTGAATTCCAACAGACTATATCGTACTGGGGAACCGTATTGAAGATGCGTTTTGCCGCTTCTATTTTACCGCATTTGGAGTAAACACCAATCATTCCACTGGCGACATACAAGTCTGTCGAAACGTCACTCTTCAATAAGGAAGCATGGATTTGTTTCCCACCTTCTAAAAGCCCCATTCCAGCACAACAACTGAGAATTATAGCAAAAGTCGTTCGATCGGGTCTCACCTTTCTGAACTGCATTTCTCTGAAAAGCATGACCGCCTCCCAATGGTACTCGTTCTGTGAAAAGCCCGAGAGTATAGCATTCCATGATGTCAAACTTGGTAATGACATACTATTAAATATCCGAAGCCCAGTTTCAACATCCCCACTTTTCAAACAAGCAGCAAGCATGTTGACATAAGTGACGTCATCGGGCTCGAATCCACAACTCTGCATTCTCTGCATGCACTCCGTTACCCTTTCTATATCGTACTGCTTGCCGTATCCAGCTATCATAACATTCCACGAAACAACACTCACTTCAGACATACTGTTGAATAACATCTCTGCACACTCCATATACCCGTGCTTCGCGTACATATCAAGCAACGAATTGTTTACGTGCAGGTCACTTTCAAACCCGAGTTTAATAAGAAGTCCGTGTATTTGTTTACCATGCATTTTGTACCTTTTCTCCTCGCTGCCATCACTCACAAGGAACTCATCGGCTGCACTTTTGGAACAAACACCTAATACACTTGACAGCGATACACAGTCTACGGTTCCCATTCTATGCATTAACCTAAACATGCCAAATGCTTCGTCGATGTGATTAGCTTCCACCAACCCCTCCATCATTGCAGTAAACGAAACCTCGTTATGCTCCGGCAAGTCCTTAAATACCACCACCGCATCTGCAATAGACTCACACTTCATATACATTCCCAATAACGCATTCCCCACATACAAATTCCCGTCGAGCCCAACTTTGATAGCAACTCCGTGACACTCCTTGCCGCAACGCAAATTGGCCAACCCCCCACAAGCACTCAAAACACTCGCCAGGGTGAAATGAGTCGGCACAAAACCGCTCACCCTCATAAAGAAATAACTCTCCAGGGCCTTTTCTTTGAGACCATTTCGCGACAACATACTAATAACCAAATTCCAAGAAACGGGATTCCTCTCGGGCATTTGATCAAACACTTGAAACGCATTGTCCAAGTCATTTAATTTGCAGTAAGAATCTAAAATAGCGTGGTAAGAGAATATGTTTTTGAGAGGCATTTGGTCGAACAGGTGGCGAGCGGCGGTAGTGTGGCCGCATTTTGAGTAGAGCTCGATGAGGCGGTTAACAAGGAAAGTGTTGGAAAGCTGATTTGTACGAAAGATATGAGCTTGGACGAGTTTTCCTAATTTGTGGGATTTATGATCGATGCAAGTTTGCAACACATTCGCTAAATAAGAAGCATTCTTTGTTTGCATTTCTACTCTCACTTTGGGACCATTCTTGAGAAACAAGTCTTGAATTTTATTTTCTTGAATTAAAAAATAAATAAATAAATTTACCCATTTTGGGTAGGCCAAAGGCGGAGGAGCAGGCTAACGGGCTAAAGGCCCATACAGATTGTAAAGCTTCACTCCAAATTGGGTTTTTGAGGTTTTCGTAATGGTACCACCAAATAATGCTGTGAATCAGAATGTACAACCACCTTCTGCACAATACCCTTTTCAACGTAGTTCCGCCCAGTCGCCCGTTACCACCGCACTCTAATTCGGAAAATTCGCTAGTGAGAGTGAGAGTGAAACCCCTGAGCTGCCTCCAGATGGACGGCTGCGGATTGGACTCCGATGGCCGTCAATTCAAAAACGCGGAGGAGATGTGGCGGGAAGAGGTGGGGGACGGCGACCCCCTGAAGAAATCCCAGTGGTACTCCGACGGCGTCGGCTATTGGCAGGTAAGTCGGATCCCTCTTTCTGTACAGTTCATTCACGCACCACGTGATTAACTTGATTTTGTATTTAATTCGATTGATTATGTAATTTTTGGAAGAGAAGGCTGTTGAAGCAACGGTGGACGGAGTTCTGGGAGGGTATGCGCATGTGAACGAACCTGATATTGAGGGTAGTGAGGCATTTTTGAATTCCGTTTTGGCCGAAAGATTTCCCGATGCCGGCAGAGGAAGGCGTCTTGTTGCTCTTGGTACCAACTTTTTTGGCACAGAGCTCAACAAATTTTGTGGAATTCTTAAGTGTCTACTGTTAATTCTTCTTTTGTATGATTGTATCTCTTTATTTTGGAATTTGGATACATATAGTATGGTTTTTCTTTAGGTTAAAATATGAAATTTGTTTGTTGAAGTAAAGAGTAACACTATCATTTACTTTCTGCAACAAGTTCGTCTAGAAAGGATTCTACTTCGTTAGAGATTTCGATCAAAATATTTGCTGTAGTATTGCTTAGAGAATTGTTTTTTTGCTGTAATGGCTGCAGATTGTGGCTCGGGGATAGGACGAGTCACCAAGAACCTTCTCATAAGATATTTTAACGAGGTATGTGTTGTGTATATTCTCTATTAAATATCTTTTACGTGATATTTTATATATCACGTATTGGTAGCTGAACCATCGTATTTGTCTCTGGTGCTAGTGATGATTTTCACCGAAGTTCCGACCTTGTTGTGAAGCCTTTCTTTAAATTTTGTATACTGAATTTATCTTATTGATATTGCTTCGTTAATCCAGGTTGACCTTCTTGAACCCGTTTCACATTTTCTAGATACTGCCCGCGTAAATTTGGCATCAGAAAATTTGATGGTCACAGAGGAGTATAAGGCTGTCAACTTCTTTTGTATCCCGCTTCAGGTGAGATGCTTGCATTTTTGTCATAGCACGAACTGAGTCGTGATTTTAGGTTTTTTGACCACGTTATCTTTTTTTTTTTTTTTTGAGTAATTCAAGTCATTACAAGGGGAAGTAGGGGAGGGGGGACTCGAACCCTAGACCTTTTACCCTAGACCACGTTATCTAGTTGGCCTTGTTGTACCGAAAATTGCTTGACGAATCATTTAATCATATTAGAAATGCTATGCTTTGTGCCCATGGAAACTCGAAAGTTGGATCAACAATCTGATAGCAACCATAAGTACAGTTTCTAAAGATACACTGCATCCCTCCCTCGATTCTCGTGTTATCAATCGTCTGTGGTGCTACATATTGTCTGGCATCAACCTTAATGTGTAGTACCCAATGTTGCAATTCTTTTATTTAAGTTAGATATACACATTTTTCTTATTTTAACCTACAACCCTGATTAAAATATATCCAATTGAATAGGGCCTTTCTTTACTGAATTATTCGGTCATTTTTATGTTAGGAATTCACTCCAGAGGCAGAAAGGTATGATATTATTTGGGTTCAGTGGTGTATCGGACATCTTTCAGATGACGACTTCGTGTCGTTCTTCCAGAGAGCAAAGGTAAATATATCCCATCTCGTATAGTTGTAAACTATAGCGATTGTCTTTTAATATAATCATATAATCAAAAACATCTGTATTCAATGTTTTCTTTTCCAGTTATCTCGAATTTAATTAGGTACGATTAATGCAATTGCAGTATAGTTATGATATCGTTAGTCTCTTGTATTTTCTATACTGTATTTAGTAATGCGACCTATTTCAGGCTGGTCTGAGACCCGGTGGACTTTTTGTTTTGAAAGAGAACATTGCAAAAAGTGGTAATGAATTCGATAATTCAAGTCTTGTGAATATATATATATATATATATATATATATATATATATATATATATATATATATATATATATATATATATATATATATATATATATATATATATACACACACTAATTTACGCTGATTCGTATATTAATTGCCGTTGTTTAGGTTTTGTTCTGGATAAACAAGACAGAAGCATTACACGATCGGACTTGTACTTCAAGCAGCTATTTAATAAATGTGGACTGCATGTTTATAAAATGAAGGTATATGATCACGAATAGTACGTTTTTCGTAATCATTGTTTTTGATTTATCAATACATGTTCATTGAAATTGTGTTGTGGGCAGGATCAAAAAGGATTTCCTGATGAATTATTCGCGGTAAAGATGTACGCATTGACAACCGAGTTGCCAACAAAGCGAGTCACAACTGAGTTGCCAAAGAGAGTCAACAGTTCCAGATCTAAAAGACATGTAAACAGACCTGCCATCATCAAATGAGATTTGTTCACTCTCAATTACTTTTTCAGCTCAGTCAGTTAATTACAGATTTTTGTGTGTATTCTTACAATATAAACTTTGATTTTTTTTTTTTTACTTTAGTTTATTTTCCTGAAAAAATAATTTTATTATTTACAACAAAGTTGCTAATTCTAAAGACTAAAGAGCACGTGGTAAACAAACTCCTACACTCACTCCACAAATATCTCCAAGACTATAACTACCTTGACTTTGTCCAAGCAAGTCTGTACGGAAGACTAAGTCATTAAGGAAGTTATTATTGTTAACTGCCCTATCTAAAACTTCATTTAATTAATTAATTAGGACAAAATGCATGATATGGATGAATAATATTATTGAAAAATTCTTTTAATTTTCGTCTAGATCAGCAATCAACTTAGGGTTAGAATTAGCACCAATTTACAGCTGATTGAACTTAAATGTGAAATTAATAAAATGAATTAAATTCTCCATTCTCTCATTTCGGTTTATAAGTTTCATTTGGAACAATAAATAAGCAGCAGCAAATTAATCTCATTTGTATTCTATTATTTGATGTGACATATACATGTATATATAATAATAAATTAATAATATATATTGATAAATTAGTGCAATAGGAAAAATAAGAAATGGTTACATCCTCAAATCTAGCAAGGAATACAACATAAGAGAAACATAAGGCAGTAAGAAATTGCCTTAAAACTAAACTAAAACAACATAAATTAATTAATTAATTAATCAAAACTGCCCTAAAACCTCACAAACGAACATAAATGAATCAGTGCTCTTGTTTCACTACAATCAAGGAAATCAATTCCGGGTTGGATTTGACGATCAGATCATCGCTTCTGCTCAGTTCATCGATGAATTTCTGCGGAACAATGCATTTTTCGTTCGAGTACAACTTTTCTTGAATCAGCGGAGATTCGAGAAGAACCTGCAGTTCTTCATGTTTTCCGAATGATTCCGTCTCACGATTCTCCTATGTACAACAAAAATCATGCAAATCAATTAGCAAAGAAAATGAAAACATGTATTCAAGAATGTGACACAGTTGGTTATTAATTAATTAATTAATTATTATTATTTACCTGATGATGATGATCATATGAATCGATGTATTCGAGAATTCCGACTTGCGCCTGCAAGTACTTGATGTATTTGTACGCCGACTGCAACATTTCGGCGGTGTTCATCTTCTGTCCACCGGGGACAAGCTTTCCCAGCTCATGAGTCTTCTCCGTGATCTTCCTCCGCCTCTGCCTGGCGGCGATACTTTGTGCTGATAAAGTATTACTCCCGGCCGCCGTTGAAGTATCCTTCTTCAAACCCTCACCGCAGCTTCCGGTGGCGTAACCGATCGGAAAATCAGGTAACGACGGCGAGTAATCTTGGACAGTTGGAAAACTAGGGTTTTGGATATTGAAGAAAGAAGAAGGCTTGAAGCTGAGATTATTGTCGGAGTAAAATTCATCGTAATCACCGCCCTTTTGGCGTTTGGGGTAGTTGAAGAAAGAAGGTTCGATTTCTGGCTGGACGGAAAAGGGTTCAGTTAGGGTTCCGTTAGTGAAATCATATAGAAGGGAGTTAGGGTTTTCTGGGTAAAACAATTCATTGGGTTGCTCGAGGAGATAATCGACGTCGGGGAAAGTTTGGAGCTCCGGCGGCAGCTCCGGCTGAGTTGCTACTGGGTCAGCCAGCATGCTTATTATATCCGAGTCCATTACAGGCTGAAGTGGTCCCCAGTTTGAGTAGTAGCTCAACGCCGCCATTGATGAAATGAAATTAAACCTGCAAGTGAAACAAATTAAGTGTGATCAGCATACAAAATACAAACAAGAATACATTATTAACTGCATTTTAAGTAATTATTAATTAAGCAAAAAAATAAAAAATGGTGGGGGAGCAGTAGAAAAAAGGAGGGAAAATTAAAAATGGAAAGTGCGAGAAGATAATGTAAGAGAGAATACCTGATCGAGGAAGATTCTGTGTCTTTTACTACTAGTCTTGAATATCAGTAGACCTAAATAATATTATTATTATTATTATTATTAATGTCTATTTTTCAGAGATGAGAGAGAGAGAAGAGAGAGAGGAGAGAGAGAGAGAACGTGGGAATGGAGGTTATTGGATAGGAGATATAATATGGTCATTAAAACGGGGTAACTAACTCCCTAATTATTAGGACCCCTTAATGGGCTTTTAGGGCTATTTATTGGCGCCTTTTTTCTCCTCTAACCGTTACCTTCAGGTTTTTTTCTATTTGGTCCTTTTCTAAATTATTTTCTCACTTTACTCCATTTTAATTATCATCTCAAACTACAATTCTTGTACCAAAGTACTACTGGGTTACAAAAATGAAGAAATTCTCATTGTTTATTTATTTATTTAAAATGCCAATTTGCTATTTATTTTATTATTTATTTTTATTTTTTGGTTCTGAATGGAACTTCATAAGATGATTCTGTAAGATTAAGATTTGACTGGGTTTAATTTGTTCTGTTATTTGGACAAGAAAATGTTTTATTTTTATACACACACACTTTTCGAATGTTCTTGCATGCAGTACTGATAAATAAGGTTTTTTGATAGTTTTAAGGTTACATTTAATAGACATTAATTACCAATATATATATATATATATATATATATATATATATATATATATATATATATATATATATATATATATATATATATAAATCATAACCTCAGTGATGATGCACATGTTTATGTACTCTGCCTCTGTCTAAACCAGGTGTTGTCCTATGATGATGATCTGGCGAAGCTAATCGTGCTGCGGAAGCCATTTTCGACAGCAAATCCCATATTTTATCCCATTTTAATTGCCGACTATTCGATATATCTGCACACATCAGCCCAAACTCGATTACCTCTGCAGCCTCGGCAACAATTTCTGCCGTCTTCTTCATTCTCTTGTCGATCACATTCTCCACATGTTCGGAATAATTCAATTTCACCCACTCGACAAAACCAATCTCCTTCTTCTCGAACTCCTCCACCGCCCTCCTATTCGTCACTATCTCCAACATAAATATTCCAAACTTGCATGTTTCTGCATGTAAATTAATATAATTGATCATCATATATATAAATCATTAAAATATATAAAAATTTAAAATGCAGGCTTACTCGTTTTGCTGCTGTGATGATCGTCGATTTTGAAACTCGTTATAATCGGTTCTCCATCTTCAGACAGGACTATGTTTCTTGTTTTAAGGTTGTAACCAATGTGGGGCCACTCTTGATGCAAATAGCAAATTCCGGCAGCAACTCGTAATATTACTTTTACCCTTTGCTTCCACGGAGGAGCATTGTTTGTCAGCCATGTTTCGATGTTCTCTCCGTTTATCCATTCGGTGACAATGCCGCTAAATCGACTGCTATCGCACCAGCCAAGTACAGGGACTAAGTTTTTGTGCTGTAACCGAACAAGAACCTTACATTGTTCGACGAATCTCCTTCGTTCGTCTCTCGACATTTTATTATTACCCAAATAAATCTCGATTCTTACTTCTCTTCCATCTTTTAAAACCCCTCTGTATGTACTCGATTCTTTATTTTTACCGACCAAATTTCGTCTCGAAAATCCATCCGTCGCTGATTCTAGAATCGATGGTGTAAAGTTGTGTTTGCTTTTGAAACATATAATCCATCCCCAACAAACCACCATTGCTATAACAAGAACTGGAAAACCAACTAATAAAAGCACTGCCTTGATCTTAAACTCTTTGTGATTCGGAATAAGGCCCGAATGGATAAAACTCGTAGAATTAAAACGCTCGAAGAAACGGGCTTCCGAGATTCTACACTCGGAGAAGTCGTTATAAGATAGGTTAAGGAAAGTGAGGTTTTCAAGAACCGAAAAATTCTGCATTGGGAAATCACCCGAAAAATTATTATGACTCAAATCGAGAAACTGAATTTGAGAGCAATGCAATATATCAATTGGGAAATTTCCATCCAACGAATTGTTCGAAAGATCGATCGACGATACGGTTAAGGGGCAGAATTTCCAGAAGAAAGTGAACGATAGGTAAAGCGGTGCTAATTTCGGTTGGCTGTGAAGGTCGATTTTCGGAAAAGATTCGACGCAGTTTGGATTCTTCGAAATGTTGCATAAATGGCTCGCGACGATTGTGAACTTGAAAATTTCGCGAAGATCGTAAGCGGCGGCGGTGGTACCGCAGTATCTGAGGGAAGGGTTTGTGAGGCAGTTGTTTGTGATTGTGGAGTTGAAATTAGCAGGTGGCTGTAAGTTGTTTAGGTCTTCTACTACAGTTGCTGTGAATATGATCATAGGAATTGATGTAATAATTGAAGTGAAGAAGACCAATAAATATGCAGAGATGATGAATGCCATTGTAGGGAACGAAATAACTTCTCTTTTTTTTTTGGCAATTTTGATTGTAATAAAAGAAAGCCTCAACGGTTGAAGGCAGTTATACTTCTACAGCAGTTCTATATAAGGCGAGAGAGAGGGTATAATAGGAAATTGAATATGGAAGATTGTTTTGAAAAGCGCATTTCAAACTAGCGACTTTAGTTTCTTCAAAGAATTTCAGGAAAAAGCGCGCTTTTTAAAATAGTGTTATCCTTTTCCTCCGTTCTCCAATAAGCCGGAAGACAGTTGCATGGGCAACCCCATCGTCTTCGGAAAAGGAACACTTGAAATGTCTCTTCCCACGCGCCTCCGCACACCGCCATCTCCGCCGCCTGGCAATTTGATTCACTGCTATTCACCAAATTTTTTATCTATAAATCGTTCAAATAGTTCGTTCCACAGCAATGGGTTCCCTTCTCTTTCTCATGCCAGGTCCAATCCAACAGGTTTTTTTTTTTCATCACCATCTTCTCCAAACTGTTTCACTCTGTTCTATTTCTTTAATAAAGTAATTAATTAATTCTGCTATCACTCTCTCTTGTCGGAAACCGAAGCCGATATCGATGCGGTGGAGGAAGAGCAAACTGATTTTGCTAAGTTGAAGCGGAAAATTGAGGCCCTTGGAGTGAACCCTAATTCCTGTACGCCCGGGCAGTACGATCTGCTATATTGTCCCAAGGTAGAAACAATTGTCTGCCTAATTTCTCTGTAATTTAGGGTTCTCTAAGAATTGAGTGATACGTCTTGGCTGAAATCATAGAAAACGTAAGTAATCCAGGATTGGGGATTTTGTCCTGTATATGATCTTTAATTGATGGGTTCTTCTTTTTTATCAGTGCGAAGGTGGGAAATCGATTCAGAGGACTCTGTCTTTTCACATAAACCCGAATCGGTTAGTTTTTTTTTTTTATTTATTTATTTATTTATTTATTTGCTAGGTCTAGTACTCCTGAAGATAAACTAAATCGAGTGAATGCGTTGACTGATGTAATAAATCAGGAGTTATGCGATGTGGAGGTGCTTCGATTCGCAATGTGGATGGGCAGGGCAGGTGCAATAGACATATGGTTTCAATTACTTGAGGTTGTATTCCTTCTTGCAGATGGTTAACTTTGATTGCAGGTTTTTGCAGACATCGAAAAGGCTTATCCTGGTGTGAACATACCTGTCAAGATAGATTCCTCTCGGCCATTAACCGGAGAAAGTTTACGGCTAGAACCGCTCGGTGATGAGGTACTTCTTTTTCTCACGATTATTGCATATGTATGGATCTAACAATTGAAGACGTATATAAATGTTCGATCATGGAGAATGTAGTTGGCAAACATTATGACTTCTTTTAAATAATCCACAAATTGAATAATCGCATTACTCACAAATTCTTTTAGAATCGGAAATCTGACCACCTCAATGTGTAAGCTTTGTATCTCTATTTATTACATGTATTTTTGCCATGTTTCAGTTGTTTGCGTACTTTGCTGAAAGAATGATATCCAAGGAAACATTGGAGAGAAATAACGTTATGCAGGTCGCTGGTGATCGGGTAAGAAAATACTTTTTATCTTATATTCTTGGATTGATATATTTAAATAGCCGTGTTCTAGCATTAGCATTTCGTATGACGTCAAAAAATTGTTAATCGTATGCACATATGTCACATGTTGGTTTTGTTGAATGCAGAAAATCCTTGCCTTCCCTTATAGACGAAACGGACTTTTTGTCGGCTGCAAGTACAGAACTGTTGAAAAGAAGTTCTGGCAGGTACTCACTCCCTCTTTTTAATTCGAACGCACTGAGTTGAATGATATTTTTTGTTAATAATTTTCCTTTAATTTCAGGAAAAAAACGCAGAAAAAATATTATACGGGCTTGATGACATTACAGAAGCAAACGAGATCATAATTGTAATATAATCACTTGTATCACTTGCTGCTGCTTACTTAATTAGGTGCATCTCTTCGATACGCCATGTCATATTTGTTTCAATTGCTCTTTATCATAGGTTGAAGGTGAGATTGATAAGCTATCAGTTGAAGAAGCTGGCTATTACAATTGTGTTAGTGTACCCGGTGGTGCACCACAAACAGTTTCGATCAAAGAACTACCAACTCCGGATAAGGATACGAGCTTTCAATACTTATGGAACTGCATAAATTATTTGGACAAGGTTTGAGATTTTAATATCTACATCAATTTTCTAAAAAAAATGAATAAAATATATGGTAGAGACGAAACTTTAATACTAATTTGTAATCTTTATCAGGCGTCTCGAATAATCCTGGCAACTGATGGTGATATACCCGGTCAAGCGTTGGCTGAAGAGCTTGCCCGTCGCCTTGGAAAAGAAAGGTTATAAAACGTTACATTCGACTTTTTTTTCTTTTCTTTGTTGATCAAAATAATTCACTCCTCTGCTCTAATAGGCATTTACCGAATTTCTTCTTCCTTCTTTTCCTTTTGATGTGTGTTAGATGCTGGCTGGTGCATTGGCCGAAGAAAGATGATGTCAGCACTTGTAAAGATGCAAACGAGGTTTGATTTTTGTTCTGCTACTCTGTTGTGAAATTGTAATAATTTATTTTTTTGGATTTTTCTTTTATTCCTCTGGGAAGGTTCGAGAAGCACCATTGATCGTTGTTGTTCCGTTTATATAGGTTCTCAAGAATCTGGGTGCAGATGCTCTTAGAAATGCAATTGAAAAAGCGGATGCCTATCAGATTCCGGATTCCGATTGATGAACTTGTACATTACACCCAATTTACATTCTGTGAGAAATATGAATTGGTGCATCTAAAGCATTTTGAGTGTACAAAGGTTGTACCCTGCTACTACTGTGTGACTCTTTCTTTCTATCTATCCTAAATGAGCTAATTTCTTCTTTTGCAGCAGCTTTCTGTTTGTTCGTACTTACTAATGCTAGTACTAATACTATCACTAACACTAATACTACATATACTTACACCGACGCTAATATTAAACATAAATTAGGAAATCTTAAAATTTGACTTCGAAATTTTAAGTTGATCTTTGATAGAAAAAAACACTGTTTTTCATATGAAATGATAAAAAAAAAATACTATTTCTTATTTGATATATTTGTTTGAAAATCGAAATATTGTGATTACGAAAAATCCGGAAAATTTTATAAAAAATAATTTTTGAAAAATAATAATTTTCATAAACAAGAAAAAGAAAAGGAATAAAAAAGAAACATTGGGCTTTATTTATATCTTGATGACCCGACCCGCAGACGCAGTCAGTTGTGTATTGAGATTTGGGCCTTAATATCCAATGGTTAAATGGGCCATTTTGTGAGCCCGTCTTGTTTGTAATTTTATTATTTTATTTTTGTTAAGATAAATAAATAAATATGATTTTAGTTGTCTTGAAAAAGGAAATAATTATAAGCGCTGCTAAAACCCTCCTTTTCTGCAGCTGCTGCTGCTGTTTTTTTTCTTTTTCCCTTCAACAATGGATATTCAAAGGTTTTCTTCAGCCTTGTCTACTCTCTGTCGTTGGTAAGAAGAAATCTCGAGGAGGAAGAAATGCTTCTTTTACCTCAGCGGAAACTATTATTTAGCCCTCATTCGAATAGTACCAGAAGAATTATTTTCATGGGCTCCAAGAATTTTCTGCTCCTCAAATTCTCCCCTACTCCTGTAACGCATGCTCACATTCATTCGCTCGACTCTCGTTCCTGCTATTCGCAAATCCACTTTTTCCGTTCAAGAAGTAATAGGAAAAACCCACTGTTATTCCCTTCTCCGAAGCACTTTTCTCCAATTTATCAGCAGAGGTCATCCGGCTATAGTTTTACACCCAGTGCCGCTATCCCTATTCCCAGACCCAGTAAGTTTTCTTTATCTCTCTTAATTTGATGCATATCTTTTCGTATTGTTGAATTAGATATCGAACCCCATTGAATAAGTTGAATAGCTTATAATGCTGTTGGTATTTGCATTTTCATATATTTATGTGCTAATCAATACTGTTTTGAATTCTATTATGCAGTTGCTGGTGTCGAGACTCTGGAGAAGCAATCGGTAGATAAGAAACAGCTGAAGTTATTAAGGCAGAAGTTGCAGGAAATTGGAATCGACGGCACTGATTGTTTACCTGGGCAGTACAATGGTTTAGTTTGTCCAAGTGTATGTGGTTTCGATTTATATTTCCCGAACGATAAGCATGCTAGTAATTTACTATTACTTAATGACAAGTATATTTTGTCCGTTTCTCCTACTTGTAACTCTGCCCTGATTTTGACTAATAAATGAAATACTTGTAGTGTAAAGGCGGAGATTCACAGGAGAAGAGCTTATCTCTTCATATCACGGATGATGGGTAATTTTCTATATTCTGTGCATAATTTGTTGTCTATCTTTTCTGTTCGAACTTTATTTATTTATTTTTGAAATGCTTTGTAGTAATATGTGCATGTATGTCTTAGGGGGGCAGCTGTGTGGACATGCTTTCGGGCCAAATGCGGGTGGAAGGGCACTACCCGTGTAAGCTTTTGAATTAAGGTAGTTAAAAATAATTCTATTTATTCTATTCTCATTTGTTCTTGCTCTTGTCCTTCCGTGCAGGCCTTTGCAGATGTAAAATCAACGTATGCAAAAATGAATACGACCCAAAAAGTAAAGCAACCTAGGGTAATCACAGAGGAGAGTCTGGGACTGGAACCTTTGTGTAATGAGGTAGTTATTGTTACTATGTTTACTGCCGAAATACTCTTATCCACACACCGACAACAACTGTTTACAACTTCCTTATAAAAGTTTCCCTGAGAAAGAACAGCTGTGTAGCTTGTTTGATTCTTATTCAACCTTTTTCTCCAGCTACTAGCGTATTTTGCTGAGCGTATGATATCCGGAGAAACATTAAGAAGAAATTATGTCATGCAGAAAAGAACAGGAAATCAGGTGCGTGCATCCTATTTCCTTGAATTTTATTTATGTTTTATGTGTAATCACGAGGCTGTCTTGATATGACAAAATTTCACAGTTGAGCAGCGCATTATTTTGACTTTTGGGCCGTTTCGGATGACCAGCTTTGAGACAGTTTGTATTTAAATTGCTCAAAATTGTGTAATTGATATTGCTGGACTAATTTCTGATGGTGGTTTCTCGTAGATTGTTATTGCATTCACTTATCGAAGGAATAAAGAGCTTATAAGCTGCAAGTATCGTGATATTACCAAAAAGTTTTGGCAGGTAAAAATTGAGTTATTTGTTAGGCTGAGTTTTCATCCTTGTGTCTTTAGGTATCTTCCCATGTTAAAATTAAATGTTTTTTTTTCCATTATCAGTTGAGTTATTTGATGCTTTGCCACTGTTGATCTCATAATGTTTTTTTTTTCATGGTAATACAGGAAGCCAATACCGAAAAGATTTTTTACGGACTGGATGATATAAAGGAAGCGAGTGATGTCATCATTGTAATTCCTACTCTTGTGCTGGCTACGTTCTCATTAGCAGTAACACAATTTGTAACTAATTATCTTCTTATCTTCTTATTTAAGGTTGAGGGTGAAATGGACAAGCTTGCAATGGAAGAAGCTGGCTTTAAAAATTGTGTTAGTGTTCCTGATGGTGCCCCTCCAAAGGTCTCGAATAAGTCTTTGGCCTCTGAAGAAGAGGTATCTATTAGCTGTACTGTAAAATTAACGATTCTGCTATATCTATTATTTCCTCAGGTTTTAGGAGCTTATTTTTCAAACATTCAGAGCTTTTACATATTTGTTTGTTCGACATTTATGATTGATTTTTTTTTTTGCAACTCCCCGTCTTAATGAAACTCAGTGTTCCTAATTCCCCTTTTACACATTTTTCGAAGCTAGGACACGAAGTATACATACCTATGGAACTGCAAAGATTATACTGCAAAGGTTCGCCATTTCATCTTATAAACTCTAGTGTTCTTATTTATTGCACACACAAGTTGAAAAATCTAACTCTTGTTTTTTCTGATGTTTTTTAAGGCGTCCCGCATAATTCTTGCCACTGATGGTGATCCTCCTGGTCAAGCCTTAGCCGAAGAACTTGCGCGTCGCTTGGGCAGAGAAAGGTTTTTTTTATACTTATGCTGTATCATTAGGCGTATGGTTTCGCTTACACATTCTGTAAATCTGATGTTTCATTGGCTAATCAGGTGTTGGAGAGTTAAATGGCCAAAAAAGAACGATACCGAATCTTTTAAAGATGCAAATGAGGTCTGCTATCTCATTTCAGACTTGTTAATCCGTCATTTTGGATTTTTTCGATGTGTAGTTCATAGTCTGTTTAAATTATATATTAGGTGCTTATGTATATGGGTCCTGATGCACTGAGAGGAGTTATTGAAAATGCCGAGCTTTATCCGATAAAAGGGCTGTTTAACTTCAAAGATTACTTTGATGAGATTAATGACTACTATCATCAAACACTTGGTTTTGAGCTTGGTGTTTCAACTGGATGGACTTCTCTCAACGATTTATATAATGTAAGTATGATTTGCTTTGGTAGACTTACAACATTCAATCATATATATTTTGAGGAATATATATGTTCAAACATACTGAGTTTTTGAATTATCTACTTTGGGACAGGTTGTGCCTGGAGAATTGACAATTGTCACAGGTGTACCGAATTCAGGCAAGAGTGAGTGGATTGATGCTCTATTATGCAATCTCAACCATAGCGTTGGCTGGAAATTTGCACTTTGCTCTATGGAAAATAAGGTATTTTTGATTCTCCCAGTCTCACTGTTTTCTCGTATTTTTCTGGTAAAAATTGTTATAAAACCATAAGCTGTCCCTTGTATGCTAATGACTCCGTTGCTTTCCAGGTTCGAGAGCATGCAAGAAAACTTTTGGAGAAGCATATCAAAAAGCCTTTCTTTGATGTTAGGTATGTATGGTTCCATTGTAAACGAGCTGCCTTCCCATTTTTCCTCTGTTATTTAATGTTCACATTTTTTCTTTGCTTATAAACAGGTATGGGGAGTCAGTTGAAAGGATGAGCACCAAAGAGTTCGAACGAGGAAAGAAGTGGCTCGGTGATTCATTTTCTCTAATAAGGTAAACCCTGATGCACACACATGGGTATACATACATACATAGCTACTCTACATTCACATCGAAAAATGCTAATTTTAGTATGGGTAATGAAACAGGTGTGAGAATGATTGCCTTCCAAGTATAACTTGGGTTCTTGATCTTGCGAGAATAGCAGTTTTGCGCCACGGTGTCAATGGGCTCGTCATCGATCCATACAATGAAATTGACCATCAAAGACCGCCTAGTCAGTGAGTCTTTTTTACGCACCTCACAAAAGTATTTGCAATTACCAATTGATGTAAATTATATTTTATAATATGATTATGCAACAGGACTGAAACAGAATATGTGAGCCAGATGCTGACGAAAATCAAACGATTTGCTCAACATCACTCGTGTCATGTTTGGTTTGTTGCTCACCCAAGACAGGTTGGCAATTTGCAACAACATTTGATCTTTGCCCCGATAATTTTTTTTATTGCAATAATAATAACCTCCGGAACTCGTTTTGGCAGTTGCAAAATTGGGTTGGGAGTCCTCCGAATTTGTACGACATAAGTGGGAGTGCACATTTTATAAACAAATGTGACAACGGAATTGTTATCCACCGTAACAGGGATCCTGAAGCGGGCCCCGTTGATATAGTTCAGGTGTGTATAGTGGTCACACAAGTCGAATCTTATTGTTTAGTAGTTACCAAAAATTCCAATCACTTATCTATATGTGCAGGTTTGTGTGCGGAAAGTACGCAATAAAGTCGTCGGAACAATTGGTGATGCATATTTGTCTTATAACAGGTACGTATTATCCTAGCTACTACATATAGAGATAAAATTAAGATATTAATATATAGAGATAGTCTATTATGATGCTCCTATTTAATGATGATTTCGTTAACATATTATTAGGGTTACGGGGGAATACATGGATATTAACAACACGTCAGGCCAAAATGGTAAAAGACAATTTTAGCCTCTCGGCTATTCATACGGGCGTTAATGCCGTTCAGCATAAAAGCTTTGCAGCAATATAGATGCTTATATATGCTTTGTAATATCATTATTGGATTTTTCGATGTAATTTATGAGAATATATTTAGGGTTCGAGTTAGGGTCGATTTATTTTTCGCTTGCCAGCCTAATTTTGGGGGTTCAAATTATTGCGTAATGTATGTAAATATTCTGAGCTTGGTTTATTAAGTGTTAGCTCATGGTAGTTGTTAAGTTACAATTTTGGAGGGGTAATATTGTTATTTAATCCCGGATGGGATGATGTCATGCATCTATATTCTCCATGAAAATCAAAGAAACAGGTATATTGAACATTAATAATCCAACAATCTCAAAAAATGTAAAATAATCCCAATTTTAAGGGTAAAAGAAATAAAATAAAGATACAATCCAAAACAATAATGAACAAAAGAATTGGAAGCCAAAAAAGAATATCAATGGAATAAAAGAATCTTGAAAATCACCATGTCTGGAAAACTGAAATCATCATCAGAAAGAAGCCTTCTTGACCTTGTACCGATAGAAGAGCTTCTTCTTCTTGCTAGAGCAGTTGTGTACAGTTAGGACAATTTTGCCTGCTTCATTGTTCTTGAATACCTTGCGAACTGCCTCTTCATCTGCCGACATCTTCTTTTCTTTCTGAATAATCATCGTATACGAACTCTCGTCCGCCGGCACAAATTCCTCTGTGTAATTCACTTCCCACCCCACTACTACTACGTCCCATATGAACGTTGTTCCACTCTGTAAATGCATTACAAAATTAACAATAATTCCAGTTACTCTTTTTATGTATGTATGTGTGTGTGTGTGTGTGTGTGTGTGTGTGTGTGTGTACCTCTGGTGTTGGGATTTCAATGGTTTCGGTTTTTCCAGGCTTGATCACGACCTCTGTAGCTTCACCGTCAGTAACTGAGAAGTCGAACTCGTTCTCTCTCTTGATTCCGCCATACTTTATTGGGATCTCTTGGATAGGAATATACCTACAAGCAACATATTAAATTAAATCACAATTTGTTACACTAAATGTGGTGACATGAAAAAAAAAACATATATATATATATTTACTTGAGCAGAGTCTCGGTAACTTTGGATGGGCGAGCGAAGACGAGCTTGCTTCTGGTTCTTTGAGTCAAGAAAGGAGATAATATGGAGTGAAATGCAAAATACCAGAATGGTACATTTATGAATATCTGCAACCAAAAAACAAAGAATTAGCACCAAAACTATAATTTCAATAAAAAAAACAAGAAGAAGAAGAGGCTCACGTTTTTCGCGACGAATTCAGGATAATTGTCCTGGAGAAGTGCGACAGCTTTGTTGACCGCGGCCCGAACTTCCTTCTTCGACGGGCCTTTCGAATTCTTGAGATCATTTACTTGGACAAGCGAGTTGATGCCATCCGGCTTGAAATCGACTTCCAGAACGCCTTTCTCCATAAGCTGAACCCTCCACCTCAAGAACTGCTCTCTCTTCTCCTCTGTCGCAACTGTTTTCTCGTACATCTCTTCATTGTCCAAAACTCCAAATATGTTGTAGCAAATGGGGTGGCCCTCTCTATCAGTGCCGCTCATGTACGCAACCGAGTCGAGTTCCGTCCCGAATTCTTCGCCCAGGATCGAATCGGTTCCGAATTCTTTCCTCCATTGGAGCGTTTTCTCGAGCATCTGATAGGCATCATTTACTTTGAACTCCCTTGCCCTCAGAAACTTCAAGAGCACAACATTAGTACCCTCGTTTCCTTTGCTAGGCAAAAGGGGCACCCCCCAAATTGATATATCTTTATCAACAACTTCAACAGTTTCTTCGGCTGCCACGTCAGCTTTCGTCTCTTCTTTGCATTCTTCTGGTTTTTCTGCTTCCTTTTCGCACTCTTCTTCAACGGCGGCTTTCTCCTCCTCTACCTTGATCTCTTCACAAGACGGCTTCTCTGCTTCCTTCTCGCACTCTTCTTCTTCAATGGCGGCTTTCTTGATCTCTTCAGAAGATGGCTTTTTGGGGGCATCCTTTTTCTGGAAAAGCGTGTTTCCGAGAATGGCTTCTTCAAGCTTGGTTTTCAGATCGTTTAACGCTTTCTTCTCGTGCTCTTTCAGATCGGAGAGGCAATTGCTCTCTTCTCTGTAGGAAGAACTTTTCTCCACAACCTTGGATTCATCATCTGATTTCTCACACTTCACTTCTTCTTCCGCCGCCGTCTCCGCCACTTCCGCCACCGCCTTCGAAGGCTCCTCAGCCACTTGCACCGTCTCAGCTTTAACCTCAACAGTCATGCTTTCTAACTTTCTTCACAGTCACAAAAAAAAAAAAGAAAAAAACTTGTTAGAGAGAGAGAACAAGACAAGAAATCAAAATTCTAGAGAGAGAAACAAAAAATGAATTAAAACTTACTCTGTGTAATTGCTTTGCTTTGCTTTGTGCCTGTGATTTCTTTAGGGTTTTGCAAGTGTGTGTGTTGTGTGTTGTGTGTGAGAGAAGAGAAGGCAACGGCTATATATATATATATATATATATATATATATATATATAGATATAATAGTAGTGTGTATATATATATTTTGGGAAGGGAAGGCAAAAAAAGGAGAAGAGGCCCCACAACGGTCATTTATTTGTTGTCATCCCATGTTAGATAGCCGTTAAGATTCTTTTTTTTTTTTTTTTTTTTTATAAATAATTTGTGATAGGCTGTACTTACAGCAAATATTTGTTTGTCAAAATCAATTCAAATATTATTTTGGACTGTGATTAATGATTGATTTTGCGGCTGTCACATTTAAATATAGTAACCCCCAATTGGTCATTACCACACACTTATTTAAATTGCATTTTTCAATTTTAATGTTATGAATCAAATTCATATACTACATGTTTAATTAGTTGCTAATTCTCATAATATTTGTATTAGTAGATATGAACTGTCTCTATTTCTGACACAGTTGTCAAACGAATATTATTATTTTCTGACGCCTGTCAAAGGAATTGGTCAATCATAATTAATTAATTATTATTCTTTTTCCTTTTTGAGGGAGCAGAGCAATAGTTGGTTTTCACTTTTGGGCTGGTGACCCTTAATTTGGGCTTTTAAATTAAATTAGGCCCAATTATTCTAGGGTTTCAATTGGTTTAATGATTCTAATTGGGCTTTAACAGTCCCACATCTGATATAAGGTCCTTTTGGGTTTGAAAATTAACCAAACTCGCATTTTTTCCCGTGCGATGCACGGGATATTATTGAAGTAGTAAAAGAAAATCAATTTAATACATAATAAGAAAATATAGTACACTAATAGAATAAAAATTAATAATGTAGTATTATTCATATTGAATTTCTAGCTTTATCTCTTAAGATTTGAGATATATTGATGAAAATTAGGAGATCAATAATTGCTGAAAATTATAGTTAAAAAATTAGTACATAAAAAATATTAAAAATAAATAATTACATAAGTAGCAATAAGGTAGGATTTTTCACGGGTTAGTTTTAATTTTGATAATTGTTAAAAATTATAGTTAGAAATTAGTAGAGAAAAAATATTAAAAATAAATAATTACAAAAATACCGTTAGGGTTTTCTAGGGATGCCTAGCGTTTCTTTCTTTTATATATAAGATATAAGATAATGAAAACACTAATACCTATATTACAAATTTAGTTAAAAGCTGGAAAGAGTAATAATTACAAAACTGAAAGGACTAAAATGTAATATCCAACATTATTGATTAGTCGTAAGCTATTTTTGCAGGAATTAAGACAATGACTTATTTCATTTAATATTCAAATTAATGTAGATTTAGTTGACTACCACATGGATTAGAATCACTACAACTTGCGTGCACGATATAGTTTGTACCAATATTTCAACTATAAAATATAAATATATACTTATTGAGATTTATATATAATGGGTTGTTCAGGTTCGTTTGAATTTTTATCGAGTTTACAAAATTGTGTTTGAGATTGGTTCGATGAGTAACCAAGTCAAGCTCGATTGCTCGAACGAGTTCTAATCGAGCTGGACTCGAATCAGTAGCTTGATTGTTTGCACATAATATTCTATATTTTATTCTAATTGATCGAGATCGAGTGCCAGCTCGAGCAAATTACCAAACGTTTCTTGTATGGTAACCTAATTAAAACATGCAATCTAATTCTTGAATCTATAACGAAACATTTAATATTCTTTAATCACAACGGCAAATGGCAACACAAAATACATAACAAACATATACAAAATAATATTAATTAATCAATAACAATTAAAATCAAATCACATTATTCATGACACAAACAAATTTATTTAGTACTAAAGAAGCTAGCCTTCTAATGTTGCAGTGTCTATCAACGAAATCGAGTATCCAATTTCTTCACTCAAGACGAGTACAAAGACGGAACGCTTTGCTCGTTTCTGAAAAAGTTAGTCGGATCAACTTTAGTCTTCACACGAACCAATCGTTTGAAATTGTTCTTAAAGTATTTCAGCCCCCAAACGCTAGCCTGTTCGTAGCTCGTATTCCCCGAGTTATTAATCCCTAAATCGAGATCCCGGTAATTGAAATAAGCCGCCCTCGGAGATTTCGACACATAAGCCGCCATGTAACCGTAAAGTCGCCTCATCCAGCTCACATGCTTTTCTGCTTCTTGATTCCCTTGTGAATCCCACATAACCCCGTAATGGATCATGAAAATGTTACCCGATCGATGTGGGAACGGAGTTTCGGATTCCGAAAAACTACTCAACACGCCTCCGTAGGGACTAAACTGCAATTCAGCCCGATTTTCGGCTTCTTCATGTAGGAATCTCCATATCCCTTGGAGCCCATCTACTGGGATTGGTTCCGTAACATAGTCTGATTTACCCTTGAAAAACACTGTACTAGGTGTAGTTCGATTCAGTAAAATATCCAGGGGCTGATTTTGTAGACCTGCAAAAAAGAGTATGGATTCGATCCAGCTCATTTCCGTACAATCTTTCTCCACTAACCCTAGCTCTGGAAATTGCTGTTTCATCAATGGCAGAAGATCGTGAACTCCACCTAGGTACAACGTTGTGAAAGAAGCGATAACTGTCCTGTTTCCGGTGACCGGAGATGTAACGCTTCTCAAGAAGAGTCTGAGCAGAAGATTCTCGTCGACCTTGTCGGCGATGTACTGCCACCTGTGCACTAGCTGGGTTGCGTTTTGTTCGGAAGTTCTTGTGACGTTGAAAACCGTCACGGTTTCCGGGACGGTGACTAGGTTTACTTTGAAGGCGAGGACAATCCCGAAGCTAGTACCTCCGCCGCCTCTTATGGCCCAGAAAAGATCCTCCCCCATTGAGCGGCGGTCGAAGATTTTGCCGTCGGCGTTCATTACTTTGGCGTCGACGACATTGTCGGCGGCGATTGCGTGCTTGCGTGACATCATGCCGTACCCTCCGCCGCTGAAGTGGCCGCCGACGCCGACGGTGGGGCAAACTCCGGCGGTGAAAGCTAGGGTCCTGCTTTTCTGTGCGAGGGTGTGGTAGAGCTGGCCGAGGGTGGCGCCGACTTGAACCCAGGCGGTTTTCTCGTCGGCGGAGATTGTTACCGTGCGTAGGTTTCTAAGGTCAACGACGACGAAGGGGTTGTTCCGGGAAGTGGAGGAAAGGCCTTCGTAGTCATGGCCGCCGCTTCTGACTCTGATCTGCAATCCGAGTTTCTTGGAGCAGTGAATCGCCGCCCGGATTTCGTGGTCGTAGAAAGGGGTGAAGATGAGAAGAGGCTTGTTCGGAGTGGTTGAACCTGGCCGGAGGTTTTGTGTAAGGAGAAGAGATGCGTACGTGGCATTACTGGGGCTGTAAATCGCATCTGTTGCAGAGTTCGAGCTTTGTAACTGAACGGTGAGGCATTCAAGAAAATCATGATTGTTGTGAGTTGAAGAAGATCCAAACCCTAAAAGTGTTGTGGAGAACAACACTAGTACTAGGGCTGATGTAATGTAATTACTAGGTGACGTCATTTTTTTTCTTCTTGGTGTTTGTGTTTCTGTGTGTTTATTTAATGGTGGAGGCTAAAACCACTTGTATTTATAGTATGGTACGAGGTACTTTTCCATGTGTCTCGAAGTTTCGCCACGTTTGATTTGATTGAAAATTCAAAGCTCCATATCCATATGTTGATTCTTCACGTAAAGATGTATCTTCATTTTGTTACTTGCATGGATGACTTGGATTATTCACCCAAACATAATTGACTCCGTTTCGCTTGCATTTAGGGTTTTACTTTTCTTACTTTTTTAAATAACTGTATTTCTTATTTTATTTTTAAGAAACAAATGTATTTTGGGAGAAAAATTGAAAAAGAATGTGATGTTTGTTTGAATTTTAGTAATTTTAATAATAGAAAAAATATTTATCTTATCTTTTTTTTTTCAAAGACAATATTATCGAAAGATTAAACAAAACCTAATTTTAATTAGTTGGAGGAAAAAATAATATTAAAATAAGTAAAAACAAATCCAATGTTTTGAGCCGCCGCGAGTGGTCGTATTGGAGGAAGGCCACAAAAGTCTCCGGTAGGCGACACGTGTTTAAAATCAAATCGTAAATGGACGATAACTTCCATGCACACATCATTTAATACAAGAAATTAGAATAAAAATAAAATAATTATTAAATAAAATAATTAACCACTAGCATGAATTTAAGTACCAATTGTCCTTGTAATTATTTTCCTCAAAATTAAATCAAGTCTCTGGATATATATCCACGACACGTAGATTTAATGTGAATTATGCGACTTTGAAAAATCAGAAAGCCTAGAACAATTGCGACTTTCGTGCATGCATGCGAATTGGCATATCCAGTTATAATAATTAACATTAATAATATATAAATATATTGGAAAAAGAAAAGGTTGAAAAACAAACATGACTTTGCTTAAATTTCTTCAAGAATAATATAATATAACGCAGAAGAAAATAATTTTGAAGGAGGAAAAGTAAATAAAATGGGAACAAGTTTGGTTTTCAAAGGAAATTTAATGTTCATGAAATTAATTAACATGATTAATTCAAACCTGGAGTTCCCACAATATAATATTAATTAATTCATGCTTCTAACATTATAAATAGAACACAACAATTCTTCCCAAAAAAAAACACACACAAACAAATAATTATCATCTCTTAATTATTAATCATGAAAACTCCAAGCATTTCTACTCTTTCATTCATTCTTTTCGTTATCTTTTCGTGCTCGTGTGCATCGGTTTCTGCCGATGGACACGAAGATTTTCTCGAATGTTTGTCCGAAGAATTCCATAACTACCCCTCGATTTCCAACGTTACTTACACCCCAATCAACAACTCGTCTTCTTATTCGTCCATCCTTCGGTTCTCGATCCAAAACCTAAGATTCACTTCCGAGTCCACCCCGAAACCGCTAGTGATTATAACCCCCGAACACGAATCTCAAATCCCACCGATAATCCACTGCGCGAAAGACAGCGAAGTTCAGATCAGAACTCGAAGCGGGGGCCACGATTACGAGGGTTTGTCCTATGTTTCGCCAGTCCCGTTTATCATCCTCGATTTGATCAACTTCAGCGAAATAACAGTTGATGCCGTGAACAAAACTGCATGGGTTGAATCCGGTTCAACCATTGGCTCTTTGTATTACAGGATTGCAGAGAAAAGCCCGGTTCTAGGGTTTCCTGCTGGTGTTTGCCCTACCGTCGGAGTTGGCGGCCATTTCAGTGGAGGCGGCTACGGTAATTTGCTGAGGAAATACGGCCTGGCGGCAGATAACGTAATCGATGCTCGACTAATCGACGTTAACGGCAGGATTCTCGATAGACAATCGATGGGGGAGGATCTTTTCTGGGCGATTAGAGGTGGTGGAGGCGCAAGTTTCGGTGTGATTCTTGCATGGAAGGTACAACTCGTGGATGTACCAGAAAGAGTTACTGTTTTCACAGTGCAGAAGACTTTGGAGCAAAACGCGTCTCGGTTAATCCACCGATGGCAATACGTTGCGTCGAAATTCGACGAGGATTTGTTCATCAGAATCATTATCGCTAGGGCTAATAGTAGTTCCAGCCAAACTGGAGGAAACAACGTAACTCTCAATGCTTCGTTTAACTCGATCTTCTTAGGCGGTGTCGACAGGTTGCTTCCTATGATGCAAGAAAGTTTCCCTGAGTTGGGTTTGGTGAGAGAAGACTGTACGGAAATGAGCTGGATCGAATCCATACTTTATTTCGACGGGTTTCCAATCGAAAACCGTGAAGTTCTGCTAAACAGGACTCAGCGTAGTGTGAGATACTTCAAAGCGAAATCAGATTACGTGCAGACACCGATCCCTGAGTTTGCGCTTGAAGGAATCTGGCGACTGTTTTTCGAACCGGAAGCTGACGAGGCGGTGGTGATATTCAGCCCGTACGGCGGAAGAATGGATGAAGTTCCGGAATCTTCGATTCCGTTCCCACACAGGGCGGGAAATTTGTACAAAATCCAGCATTTGGTGTACTGGGAGAAGGAAGAAGATCAAAACTCCGGCAGGTACTTAAGCTGGATAAGGAGGCTGTACGGTTACGTGGCGCCGTACGTTTCCAGGTTTCCGAGGGCGGCGTATATAAATTACAGGGATCTTGACATTGGAATGAACAGGAATGAAGGGAGAACAAGTTACGCAGAGGCGAATGTTTGGGGGATGAAATATTTCAAGGGCAATTTCGAGCGTCTTGTTCGGGTGAAAACAATGGTTGATCCACGGAATTTCTTCAGGAACGAACAGAGCATTCCGTCGCTTCGTGAGGAGATCGACGACTGAAAGATATCATAACATGCATGCCACGCGCGCGCGTGGATTCTCACGTTTGCAAACCTACTATATATAGATAATGCATTTTTTTACTATTTGTTTATTTGATTTTAATTTCTTGTATTTGTGTGTGAATAAGCTAAGGCATTGTAGTACTATTTCTTTTATATGACTTGTAATAATAATGATTGTTGTATATGTACTAAATAAATTGTTTGATTGGTGGAAATAAATTTTACTTTGTTTGACTTTTGAAAAAATATCATAATTTTTTCCTTTACTCATTTTTGGAGTTAAAAAAAAATCCATTTGTTCGGAAGTGAAAAACTAATTACAGTTATATTTTTCATGGAGCAGTAGAAATGTTTGTTTGATGTTGGGATACACGAAAAATAATAAATATCTATATAAAATATTAGAAATTTGAAAAATGTTTTTTCATAACTCTTATGCAGGATCCGGGAACAAAGCGAGCAAAATCCATAAAAAAATAGGTGATAATTAAATTACAATACTGTAATCCAACAATCAATTTCAAATTTGAATACAAATCTTGTGTTTATTTGAAAATCATGACCAAAAGTAGAAGGTCTACAAGGGAAGCTCTAATTGAACATTTTCAACCGGAGCAATTTCATCAAGAAATGGATAGTCAGTATATCCAATAACAGGGTCATCAGTGTAAAAAGTCTCCCTATCATACTTATTAAGAGGAGCATTAATCTCGAATCTCTTCGGTAAATCGGGATTAGCCAAGAAATGACGGCCATAAGCAATTAGATCTGCTCGATTTTCGTCAATGGCTTTATTACCATCTTCCCTGTCGTAACCGCCACACGCAATAAAAGTACCTTTAAAAGCCTCTCTCATTGGCAAAAGGCTTTGCGGATCACACTCCGTTTTTCCGATAACATCTGTCGCCGCCTCGATTGAATAATAGTTTCTCTCGGTGAAAACATATTAAATAATTCACTCGATAATTCAATAATTCGCTAAATTAATAGAATTTCCCTAGTCCCAACTATATTAATTTATAGAGGTTTAACTCTACATAATTAGGCGCACAAAAACTTTGTATCATTATATAATTCGGCAGGATAAGCATTTTCATATATAAAGATCATCGATCTATCGATCGATCGATCGATCGTTAAATTGTGAAAAAAAACAAAGTATTCTTGAAAACTGAGTAATATAATGAAGAACCTGTGTTTGAAACCCTGCCAACATGCCAGATTTGGCAAAAGAAGATAGCACCTTTGGCATGAACTGCATCTACAATGGGTTTCCATGCCTCAACTTGTTCCTTTGTCCATATTCCTGGAGAATGTGTGTACCTTTTGATAGGACCAAAAAAATAAATTAATGAAAAATGGAAAATGAAATACGATACGATACACGATACAGTACTTTGTTAACTACTCTTTATTACCCTTGTGCAGTGGTGGAAACTCCAGCGGCTTCGGCCACGAGAAACCCCCTTTCGTCGCCCTTTGTGAGTAGTACAATAGAGCATGTGGCTGAGGAATGTTGTCATAAGATCTTTGCCTACTCAGGGGTGCCAAAACAATTCTATGAAACCAAAAAAAATAGACAAATTAATTTCAGGAAATTGTGATTTACAGATATATTCTTAATTAATTAGTATGAATAAGATATTACATCAACTGGCGAGTTCCAGGAATTTATCTATTAATGGTGTTCGGAATTGAGTATATAAAAATATATACATTCCAGTACTTAATGAAAATTAATAATCTTGTAAAACTGTCACCTTTAAAGATCGATATATATTAACATAATATATAATTTTTTTTAAAGAAAAAAAAACCCCGGATCTTTATACAGATTATAAATGCATATATTTTTCCATCAAGAAAGTGATTCAATTGTTCACACTAATGCATGGGAATGTTAGATAAGGACAAATGCATATTCCAGATATTTCTTATTTGTTTGAAAGTGGCAGCTCGACAATGCAATTATAAGCTACATTATATTATAGACTAATTAATATCGTGACAACCGCATCAATTCGCAAAATCGAGAAAAAAAAAAAAAAAAAAAAAAAAAAGAGTACCTATGAGAAAGCTCGAAATTCCCCATTCGATAAGGTGTGACAAGTGGGATTTGCTGTTTCTTCTCTTGCTCATTCTTCTCTTGCTCCTTCTTCTCGTGCACCTCCTCACCTTTGATTTCCATGTTTCGTTACTTCGAAGATAACCGTAAATTATATGCTTCTGTCGTGTATGACTTGTGTATGATATGCTCACATGCACTAAACCTGCATTTATAGAGGGTAAGATAATTAATAGAGGAATTTTTTATTTTTTTTATTTTATTTTAATAAATAATTATAAAGATTAGAAGTATATGTTAGTAGGTGAAGTCACTGGGTAGGTATGGCCTATAAAAGCTGCTTGTTGCGTGATAGCAATATAATGGAGTTATGTGCTAATCTTGTTGAAGGAAAATAAAAATTAATATATTATTATTGCTTTGCATCATGCATGCAGAAATATGTTGGTGTATTTAGGGGTTTATAAGTTTGAATATCTAAGCTATGTCACGTATAATTTTGTATAGTAATTTGATTAAAGAATTGAATGAATACTATTCATATTTATAAGGTTTTAGATTATTATTAATTGGATGAATTAAAATATACTAATCAACAATAACAAAAATAAACTATTAAAACATATATACAGACGACTTTGTTAAAGGGGTTTGTTAAAGGATTCAATTTAATTCCCTATTGTGGAAATATACAATCAATATTGATACCTAAGAAATATACAAAATTAGTAAAAACGTTGGTAGTTGGAAAAGTAATGGAGTAATAACTAATAATAAAAAAAATGGGTACCATTTGACCCAAAAAAATAAAATAAAAAATGATAATTAAAGACCGTGTATGGATGATATGATCATCAACTGCCACATCTCCATTAGTACCACCTTGTATTTTCTCCGACATTATTTAGTGAATATAACAATTCCACGTACGTGTAGTAATAATAAATAAAAGAAAAAGAGTGTCACCACAATTAATTATGAATGATTAATGAATGACAATAAAGAAGCAGCAATAAAACAATAAAAGCCTGTGCAGCACAATAATTTGATTGAGTAATTAAATTCCATTTAAAGTGTAGCAGTTGCAGGACCAAATATGGTTGAATGGGGGTAAGCACAGCTGTCCATGCAATATATGCCGCCCATTACATCGTCTTGCATATTTCTTAGGTATTGTATATTTATTTAACAGACTTTGTTATAAAAGCTAATTAGGGCTTTGTTAAAAAGGCTTCAATTTAAATATTTAATTATATTTGCCTAGAACTCCCATAATTAGTTTACTAAAATCTTTATATTATTAATTAAGGGCAAATGGAAACACCCCTCTGCATGCATGAATTAATTTTAGAGCGACCGACGAAACAAGGAAGTTTAATTTGGAGAAATTGAATTATATTAAATATGGATCATATATATATACATGTATTGGGAATCGAAAACATTCTTCTGGAGTATAATTTATTGGGCTTGTTTTGTTAGTAATGGGCTCCATTTACATATTGCATCGACAGCTGCATGTGCTTATCTTATCAATTCAACCACATTTGGTCCCCGCAACTGCTACACTTTCAAATGGAATTAACTCAATATATCGGAAGGGTAGGGTGCTCCTAATTTCAGGGTTTCTGCTTGTTACAACTTCCGGCGAAACTTGTATCGAATATCTGCCGAAGAAAAGTGCCGATTGCATCCAACTCACTACTTCCGTGCAATCTTCCACTACTAGAAAATCGCCGATTAGCGACGGGCATTGGCAACGTATAACTGATTCGTTGCTACAATAAAGATTTAGCAATAGCATTAGTGACGGAAGATGAAATCGTCCCTTTGGTGGTGTTACTCTGATTTTAGCGACGAATGTTTGCGACAACTGATAAGTTTGTTTCAAAAGTAATTTTCCAGCAACAAATATAGCGATAGAAAATAGAGTCGTCGCAAGTGTAGGTAAGTAGCAACGAACCCTAGCAACGAATATTAAGTCTATTTCTAAAATAAATTTGTAGCAACATATGTTGCGACGACTATATATTTGTTGCTAGGAAAATTGTGTGGCGACGGATCCGAGCAAGGAATAACAAATTTGTTTCTAATTTGAGCGACAAATTTAGTGACGGCTACTATAATCGTCACTTGGGTTTAGAAAAACCAGTTAGTGCTACAGATATTAGCAACGAAAACTATATCCGTGTCTAAGATAAATAATTTGCAAAACTGTAGTGACGGATAAATGACTAACAAATCCATTTCAAAAATACATTATTATTATTATTATTATTATTATTATTATTATTATTATTATTATTATTATTATTATTATTATTATTATTATTATTATTATTATTATTATTATTATTATTATTATTATTATTATTATTATTATTATTATTATTATTATTATTATTATTATTATTATTATTATTATTATTATTATTATTATTATTATTATTATTATTATTATTATTATTATTATTATTATTATTATTATTATTATTATTATTATTATTATTATTATTATTATCATTATTATTATTATTATTATTATTATTATTATTATTATTATTATTATTATTATTATTATTATTATTATTATCATTATTATTATTATTATTATTATTATTATTATTATTATTATTATTATT